AGTGTTCATTGCTTAAGGAGTGGCTAGGGTAGCAATAGTTTGGAGAAAGGAGCATGTTAGCCAAGGCTTTATTCTCTTATCAATACTCCACCAAAACTAAAATGAGTAATTTGGAGTGCACTTCTTGGAGCAATGTCCGTGGTAAAGTTTTGGACTGCTTTCAGGTAATGTGGATGAATTGAGAGGCGCCATCTTAGAATTATTCCCTGGCGCCGACCTCATTAGGTTTTCATCACCAGTGAATCTTATTAAGGCGACCTGATCTCATCTAATCCGCCTTATACGGAATACGGGATACAGGATACGGCATGCTGGTATACTGGCACGCTGCTATAACGTAGTCACAGTGAAATCCCTGGTATTGATCAGACCCCTAGAGGCCCTTAGGTATTGCGCTTTGGCTACAACTTGTTTCCATAAGTGGCTGGTGTCGAACTGGGAGCAACATAAATTCCACAAGGATTCCTCTACCTACGTACTCTCTTTATTAGGGTGACTCACAGAATGGCACTGTTGTTAGATGTCCGTATGGCGGCCACATCAGCGAATTTATATAAACATTACGTCCCGTCCAAGGCGGCAGCGTTGGTTGGGGTAATTACCTTCAGGATCCTGACTATGTCCTAATTATATATGACTATAAAGTCTCACAAATGGCTCAGCTTTACTATAGTTATTTGAGGTTTATATAAGTTTCCCCCTGTCTTATCTAACATCTGCAGGTTTGGCACCAAGTATATGCTAATTTTAATATACCATCATAGTTAAAGCCTTAGGTCTTACAGCGCAAGCTTACTCTAGTGATTATCTATCTAAAATTAGACTATTCATAATTTAGGTCCTCCTCATCCTCCTCACATTAGTTCTCTTTATAGCTGTAACATATATCTTTCTTAACTATCTAATCTATTCATCCAGATACCTGCAGCTCTTATTCATATATATAGATTTATTGATGAAGCTCTTTGTTATTAATAATATCTTCTATTTCTTAGTTCAAACCACTGGTGCAGGCAAACTTATGAATGCAGATCCACCTACTGAAGTTTCTTCAGCTGAATATACTGTCATCAGGGGCATCACATTACAGGTGCTATTTTTCTATATCTTTATATTTTGTGCCATTGTCTTCCACATTCAAACAGCCCAACTACGAGAACAAATTACCTTATCTATCTGACTCAACCTTATGCTCACATCTCTGTTTATCTGCAGTCTGCTAATTACGGCCCGAAATGTCTACCGATTGGTTGAGTATAAGAGTGGGACGGACGGATATCTTCAGACACACGAGTGGCCAACTTACTGTCTTGATGTTATTTTGATGTTCGGTGTCATGAATATCACGCTTTTGTGGTATTCGGTTAACCTGCAAAGACCGCCAGCAAGGTCATATCCCCAGGTGCAGAGCCGACAGGACAAGAATATGTGTAGAAGAAACTCATGCTACATTGAAGCTTTCACCACATGGTCCTGCATGGCATGGTGTACACTAGGACTAACTCCAAAACTCTCTGCCATATTAATAATCTAATAATGAAGGAGGTCGAACTCCTAGGTAGTAACTATTAATCTTGCACCCTTTCTATTTTCTCTTGGTGATAAAGGTAATATAAGAGGTAGTGGTGAACTTAAGGGCTCTCCTTTAGTCATACTCTAGCAGAACTGGGTGTTATATTTAACTGGGAGACTCTAACACACAGAATATTATGCCTTATGCATCCTCTGCAGCTAGGTAATGATTTATTATATTTAATATGCTTCTATTTACATTATAGATAACTAAAATGAGATTTTATGTGAGGGCGCCGCGGAGGTATCATCCAGATAATAGGAGTAGAAATGAGAAATATGTTATATAGACTGAACTATAGTTATTATTAGTAGCTGTGGTAATGGGCTGTAATGCAACTAGCTAATGTTGGATACAAATCATAAGATTATCGATTAGGTACATGGTTTAAGTTGTTAGCAGCCGACTACCGATGTAGTAAAGGATTTACGGAACTCTCTTCGAAGTCAGATTTGTCCAATCATATCGCGACTCAACTCGCCGATTTGATTCCAATTCCATCTCTCTGGTCTATAATTCTAGTACGAGATCGTAGATTAGAAGAATCAGACCTTCATCCCTTAATATTCCCCGTATACGCGTTTATCATACAATTTAAAATGGCCGGATTATTCAGCCATCTCCAGAGCGTTCGCTTACTGATTATGGTACGGTTCACCCACATGCCTCAAAAATGAGTAGACCGGAATAATCAAGCACTGAGATTACACAGCTAGGACTCGGATCATCACATGTTGCTGGTATAAATGGAATCTCGATTTCTGGTGGCGACCAATGGGTCTATCGGCACGTGACACAGTTGGATCCTCGCTGATTCCCGTCCAAGCCAAAGAGTATCGGCCAAGAAACCCAGCCGCTTGCGTCTACTCGTAGTACAACCATGGTCAGGCGGGATGGGCTATGTCACATATTAGAGGGCTATACCCTTACTTAGGATAATAGTTTCTCTGAACTCTGTATATGCAGAATAGAAATAGGGGAACTAAATAGCTTAGAGGAAGCTAAGCAGTTCATTCTAATCATAGTAATATATATATTTTGCTCAGTGAACCTATACATTATTAGAACACCATAATCATAGCAATAACTCACAGCCTAGTTGATGATATCTTGCTGGCTAGGAACCTCCTTAAGCAGTCAACCTCCGGCCCGCTTACAGACCTATATTATTATTATTAGTAGATTTTTCTCTATTTTTTAATATATTTTTTATCTTAATATCTTTATTCTATGGCTCTTAAGTAGAGATATAACAGAAATTTAAAAGCAGTTAGCATTATAAAGCATACTAACTACTTTTAAATTTCTATTATATTTCTTTCATAGTGAATAACTCTACTAATCTTTAATATTTTTTAATAATAAAAACATCATTAGATTACTCTCTTTCAGGTCTATTGAATGATATAGGTTTGATTAAGATTGGCCATGGTTGTGGTGTTGACCCAAACCCATGACTCCCTATATAGACATCGCTCTCGAGGCGCCACCGCGGGGTTCAACGCTCGAGGGACCATCAGTATGAGGAGCAGCGAGTTCTCACTAACCAATAAGATAAGGGTTTTTCTGTTAGCCATCACTTTACATGATGGACCGCCTCTCGAATGCTCACAGTCTCATTTTGCCTATAGTATTGGTGTAGTGTGGCAGGCGAGGACCACGCCTTTTTTGATTTGCTGATAGTGTGCTGGGAGTGTAATCCCTTGAGAAATTTGAGCTTGATGCAAGGTGTAGCGGTTTTAACCAAACCCGAAACGGTTCCACCCCATAGAAACCAAAATAGGTGCGATTCCCTAGGCTTGGAACCGAACCCTTACCGCTGCGAGTTCGGTGAGGGTCGGGTTCGGTTTTAGCGGTTCGGTTATGCCACTCTAATAGTAATCCAAGAACCCTAAGTAAGACTGTAAGAAGAATTAAAGGCTAACTCTTAATAACTCTAATAGGACATTATAAATGGATAAAGATAGTCCCTTCCATATAGAAGGAAGGTAGATGGGTAATTCGGAGCATGCTATGGATGAAGAAGGACATAGAAGCAGAGTAAGTGCTAATAAAATCCCTAGATCTGATAGCAGCGGTTATCTGGCCTCCTAAGTGATTAATTTTTATGGCATTAGTCTATGTAAAAAGGGGAGATGCCCAAGGCTTGTATGACACATGCAATAGCTTACGCAAGGCAATCACCAAGGTAAGGCGAGATACAGGCGCAGTGGTGGAGGTTCCGATCGTGGGAGACTTTAACCAACATGATCAGCTATCTAGTTCAATTGATGCAATTTCTAGCGGACCTTCCATAGCCAGCATTGCATTACAGATCTACCACCTGCATAATTACCACATCCGTCACTTAATACGCCTTTTTAACTTTGATTGAATACACCTTAAATACTGCAATATATTGATATCCTATGCCTTGTTCAGGAGTGATTTCCCTAGACTCCGATCATGGTGTACCCGGCGCTTTGGAGTATTCAGAGAGGTGTAAGATCAACAAAGAGTTGGAAGATATGATTAATTTTAGGAATGCGTCGAAGCCGTTCCTGCGATTAGCAAAGAGGAGGGACTTTTTCTTATTCCATCGTCACACATTATCTGATTGAATTCTCACAAACTTAACCCCAGATAAGCCAGTATAAAGAGACAGTGTATAAAGCTGCATGATAGATTACAACAAAACTAGGTAGACAAACTAACCAGAGTACAATAAGTCTCTTCTAGATCATTTCTTTGTGAAGCATTGCTAGTACTTAATCTGGACCATACATGAACAGGAGGAGTCTTTCACTTATCTCTAGGCTGGGTTTATATTGTGTGCCGCCCATTTTAAACCCACACGGCAGAACTCTGGATCATCATTGGCGGCGCACTAATCATTCAGCAGGCTGGCTCCTTGTTCACAGACAGCCTGCACGTCCAAGACGCAGTCTTGTCTATTACAGGTTCCTTGGTCGCACTTGACGGGCTCATTCACCTGGAATAAATCTTCTTTTCGAACAGTTCCAGGCCGGCAGGTGAAGGTCTGAGAGTTTACGCTGGCACATGTGGAACAGAAGTACCCTTTTTTACCCGAGAATGGACACAAGAATCGTGTAATCAGTGACGCTGGCAATGTCAGCGGGGAAACTTGTCCGATTATTTCTGATCTGACGTCTCAAATAAACAAGACATCTGCGTTCCCTAGTTGTGAAAATAACGCTACTATTGAATTCCCATACTTTACCTATGAAAAATACCAGAACCTTCTCTTGATCAATGTTTTTAAGTCTTTATGGTATAGTGGAAATTCATGCCATACATAGAGCCATGACGCAGTGAGCGAACAAATAAGGATCCTTACATTCTGGTGCTCAGCCGGGTAAGCAACAAGCGCAGTTAGGTAAATCACATAACTTTTCTCTCCTTTCCAGGAAAGGGGGATGAAGACTAGTTAGTCCCCATTAGCCACAGCGATTCCCGTTATCAAGCAGCAAACCGCGTATCCCGCGGTTAAAGCAAATTGCGCGGCCAAGACAACTCCCGGCGTCTCGCCAGGGAAAAGATATTCAGAGGTACCTGGGGCCAGCATGCCGCCGACATCAAACAAGATATTGGCCGAGAAGGAAGCTCTCGTACTCTCCGTTCGGTTGTTCTCAATAAAGTCGCCGACAGCGGGCACAACCCAGGCCACGTTGAGTGCACATTCCGAGAGCAGCCCACTGATGTCTAGATACTCTTGATTTGTGGCAATATTATCCACTGCGACCTTTCCGATACTGGCGCGGTTATAGACCAATATAAACTATTGTACCAAGTCCGGCTGGTCTGGAGCCCACCTATAAGGTCTGGCATGACATACCCCAGGTAGGAGACCATACTAATGCCTCGAAACGTCTTGGATGCCGGCACGCCAGGAGGAGTAGCCGCCTTTCCAGCTGAGCAGGCCCAGACAAAAAAGCCGGCCACGAACGACACGCCGTTGGACACTATGGTGCAGATGTCGAACACCTTGGCCTTGTCGACTGCCACTAGGTTCCCTTTCCTGTCACCTGGTATCATCGTTATATATTTCGCATAGGCCGTTTGCTGCTCCAGGTTGGGCTGGGACGTATTGAGAATGTTGCGAAGTGTAGCATAGTCGGTTAGTCAGCTCGTTTGCTGGGAAGGGAGCGGTATTCGTGATCGCCTTATAGATGACGGTTGCTGGGATGGCACCAACGAGGCAGGCGAGGTCCAGGAAGCTGAGCTGATCGCCGGAGATATCCTTATAAATGGGTGACAGTATGGGGATATTCAAGGGGGCATCGAGAAGGGCGAAAAAAGCATCAGAAAAGAGCTTGGTAAGGTCCAGAAGTGTCAATATGCAATTTTCGGCCGTATTCAGAACAAAGTCGGTGATGATTGCGGCGATTTTCTCGAACAGCTGCTTTGCGCTAAGGGATGCAAAGTCCTTGACGAGATCCACAAGGCTCTTCACTAAGCCGACAATATCTGTCTCCTCCGCCTCCAACAAATTATACAAAGCCTTGAATACATTCTCCAGCTCCTCTGTAACTGGGACGCTTAGGTCATGATCTGACTGAGCACTCTGTAGATTACTTGTGGCATGATGCAGCGCCCAATTTGCCTGAGGGCTGTTTCTAGACGGGACACTTGACTGAGTTGCTTCCTGCTGGCCGATTGTCTGGCCAGGATCCGGAAGACTGCCCCATTGGTCGACCTTTTCCTCGATTGTGGCAAATTCATTTCGAATGTCATCTTCAATCTCGGTAATTGAGTTGGTCACCTGCTGAACAGATAATCTGAGGATGTTCTTGACGACCAAGTGGGTTCGCTTTATATCGTCCCAATTGAAGATAAAGCCCAGATATTTGACGATGTCATCGTATGCAACCACAATCTGGTGGAAGACATACTCTGCTGCTCCCACAACAGCCGCCACGGTCTCGATCGCCGCGGAGTATATATCATTTTCAACCTCCACGATAAAGTGCCATACCCCATCAACTACCTTGGAGTATGCCCTTTTGACGGTATTCCATGCCTTCTTGAACCACCGCACCAGATCACCCCACAGAAGCTTGATCCAGCTGCCGCCACTTTCAGCAATGGCGCTGGAGGGTCCGTCTTTCAAGGGTCCATCAACCAATAAACCACGACGGGCTTTGGTCGCAGCACCATTTACTGGCAGACGCGACTTGATGTCCAGCAATGTTTGGAATTGGTCTCCTGCAAAACTTAGCCGGTCAAGCGGCATCGATGATTGGGGTACAAGCGGCGTGGTCACTCCATTAGAATCAGTTACAGTTGCCGCCTGCAGAGCATCACCCGTAGTGATTGTGGACAGCCGTTGGCAGGCGTTGTCATGCGGGTCGATTATTTCAACGATGTCGGGACTATCTTTCACATGCACAGTGACATTGATTACTGTACCTGAGAGTGTCTGTGTTTCCTCAATGATAGTGATCACTCCAGACAGATTTGTGGAAGTTTGAACTGTCTCATCGGGGCGGAGGATCATGTAAATATCGTTGATATTTACCGAAATGGGCCCGGTGGAGGAACTAAGCGAAACCGCATAATTCGGGACTCCCATACCGTTGACATCCACAAGCTGGACGTGACTGGTGTAGCTGTAGAGATCGATCACCGAGTCCACATTATCCCCCGGTAGGAGCACGCTTCGCTCGGCCCAGATCGAGGTGCTCGGATCCTGGGTCAGCTGCGTCAACTGGTTGTCAGAGGTTTGGGCGAACAAGATACTATTTGCTGCTCCCTGGTAGGCGTTCAAGTAATGAGCGAACTGGAATACATCGTAGCAGATTGGCACAGGTTGGACCACGCATTCGAGTTTGTCTCGGAACCCGATGGGCAAGATAGGCTGTACAACTCGGATATACCGTTGAGACCCCAGAGTACCGTGCGACCCGCAACACTGTTCGCGATCAGATTCCGCGTATCGACCAGAATCTGTGTACTGAAAATAAAAGATGATTGGGTTGCTATTTCCGCATAGGCGCCATCGTACTGGTTGTCTGGTGTGAAGACAAAGATTGCACCGGCCAACGGCCATACAAAGAATAAGAATGTATTCCCAGACGAAGGATCCACCATGGACGCAATTGACGTGGCGTCGGGCGGGATCCTCAAATGAACACTTTCGGGGAAGGGTCTGTCCTTCGTTGCTGCAGGCGTGTAGATTAGGTCCTCGTTGGAGCCGAGGAACCCGAAGGTGTAGATGCCACCGACCGGGTCCTGGGGGCGCTTTCCTAAGCAAGTAATTACAGACCCTGCACTGATATTGTCGGGTAGGGGGTGGAAGGTCCACATCGGGTCTGATTTTATATCGATATAATATCGATCTACCGCCTGGGTATTGTCGGCTGGGTTCCTAATCACGTCGGCGAAACATAGTACTCCATATCCAGGAATATTCAAAAGATATACGTCGGCTATGGTGAAAGGAATCGGTTCTGGCCTGTCTCGGGCGTCAAATGAAGCGCTCACCCAGTAAGGTGAGTTTTCCCACGTTGATGGCGTATTGGACACGTCCAGAGCCAGAAAAAGGCTATCATTGCCATTGAGGCGGGTGACAACGGCCAAATCCACGCTGTTTGTAGACCTGGGACTCTGAGTGACAGCGAATTGCGTCGCCGCAATTGTCTTTTGTGCAAACCTGCCGGCCAGTACGCTAGAGATATCATACTTGACCCAGCCGGTTTTGGATGCGGTGGTTTCTCGAGTAGCGTATAAAACATCATCACCACCTATGGAGAAAAACAACGAAGTGCCGTCCGGATTCTGCAAGACATCAAACTGGCGAGCAGGGTCCATTACACTGGCATACTTTTGGTTTTTCATCAACTCCGACTCGGAGTTGATGTTGGCTGGGATGGGAGAAGCCATTTCTCGCGACTATGTATTAATAAAGCGAATCGCTAGTTGTTACTGTTGCGTTATAATCATTTAATACACTCCAGAAGAATTTCATACAAAATTGCATGGGCTGCCTTTTAAGTATCATCCCTTTTCATCCCTCGGAGATACCTTGACCTGGCCTTGAGAGTGGCGCAACGCAGCTGGTCAAGTCCAGGCCCCGGCTAGTTGCGTCATGAGGTCTGGCCACCATTGCATACCTTGTTCTCAAAGTCATCCTTTAAATTGAGGGCGGCCTATTCAAATGAGAGATTGGGAAGATGTGGACTAGTAACCTGCATCTCAATTGGTCTACTTTACAGTTAACCGGTTCGGATACAGAACCTCCGAGTTATTAATATAGTATATTTTTAAAACTATACGAAGAAATAAGGTTAAGTAGATCCTGGCCCACTATGCAAACGGAATCTAAAGCTCTTTTGATCCATGGTACTGTCACATGTAGTCCTACCACACCCGAAAAGCATCACTGTTGGCAGTCAATCTGCCACTCCAGATATGCTCAGATGAATGAATACCGTTCTTTATATAAACTTGGGACATGGAACCCACTGATAGAATCAATCATGCCATCCAATTATAATATCAAACTTGCTCATGAAGATGTCTGGACTTCACATGATATTCGTCGGTCGCTTCGTAAGAAGATCGAATGTAACTTGTACTACTGGCTCATTTTAAGGAAAGTGTCGCTGAATTCATATAGCGAGACGTGGTTCTGCACCTGTATCCCAGATCTACGGCCATAAAAGTGAAGGAACATATCCGACATACTACTATCAAGACCATTGTTCGTCGAACGATACCGTCGATGATGTCTTGGACGAGGAGGAAGAGGCTTATCACATCCATTACTTGCGAAGATACGGGCAATTCCGGGAGGGTGGGCTGCCTCAGCAACTATCTGTTGAAGTGGAGGAAGCCATCCTGCAGCGAAAGGAACTGGTTAACTTACGGCACGAAGGAGGAAAACGCCGTGTCAACTTTTATAGGAATGAATATCGGAAGGCCCTGATTAGCATTCAACTCTCGGAGGTCCATCAATACCAGACTCAGTGGGTTCGGAACAGATGCGATTAGCAGGTTCTAAGCTGGGGAAAGAACCATCATGAATCCCTGGAGAGTAATGCATGTAGTCTGACCTCTTTGCAATGGGTGATGACTAAGAACTTTGTGGACAAAGTTCAATCCAAGCAGCGGAGGATGTAATATTGATAGGTATATATACAGCTTTAAAAAAGCCTAGGAGAGTGTGCAGAAGATATCTATTTAGTTGTCATTATCATATAACTATTTAGACCCTTATATTCCTTTATAGCTAAGGTAGATTTATAAAAAGGGGCTTGAATCCCTCAATATTGATGAGACACGTATAGGGCGGCCGCTGGCCTACCCCCCATACCCTCGCACAATTCGAAGGCTCTACTCCCACGGCGACGAAAGTTATCCCACTAGTTAATGAGCGAAAGAACGTGGATTCCCAGATGGCAGATAGGAGTGGGCATGGACTTCTGCGCGCAGAAGCCCTTGCAGTCGCGATTAATTAGTATGGCAACCGTGGACTCCGGCGCAAGACAACGTCACTAGGTGAAGAGAAGTTACCTGCATATCCAAATCTTTCAATTAGCAAAGGCTATGCAGGTCAAAAGAGGAAGAACGCTTATTAAATCCATACCTAAAGTCAATGGTGAGGCACTGCAGTGCTATGCAGTCAACAACGCTATCGCGGCTTGATTCAGTGAGCTGAGTACAACTGAAAATAAAGTCTGCACGACTTCTTCTGTGCATAGAAGTTGCCTTGGGAGCCTCAACTATTTAGTAGAAATCCTATGCTTAATTGTGATAGATAAGTTGCCGTCAAAGATATTCCAGGGCCCTGAGATGGAACAGAACTCCATGAAGCGGATAGTCAAATGGTTTACAGAGGCGAGGTATCAGGAAGAAATCACAACTGCCTACTCAAGCACGGGTCATATCCCGTTGAAGAGAATGGACTGCGACTCTTGTGTATGCTAATTAAATCTACATACATTTCGCACTATGGATTCTCTGAGGTTCTAATGATCCTCCACGGGGAAGACAGCTACCGGAGACGCCTATCGAGGCTGCCTCCCCCTCCCCCCACCGAACTCTCCTCCAGCAACCTCCCTTTACTGAGGACGTCTCCTGACTATGACCTTGACTCCGGCTGGAGGCGCCTGCAACTCCGCTACCTGGCGATTCGGCGGGCGCTTGCCCTTGTACTCAGGCGGGTATGCGATATCGTAGTGCTTGAGGATGTACGCGACAATCATCTTCAGCTCAAAGTCCACGAGGAACCGACCGGGGCACGCGTGGCGCCCATGCCCGAAGGGCAGATAATCCGGCGAGGTCGACATGAAGGTATTTTGATGGTAGGCGGCCTTTAGGGAGTCCCCGTTCGCCTTCTGCTCCTTTTCGATGGGACGCGAGAACCGCCAGGGATAGAATTTCTCTGGCTGGTCAAACTTGGCCGGGTCGCGCTGGGCCTGCGACGCCAGGAAGGCCACGATGGTGCCCTTTTTGAGGGGGATGCCGGCGTCAGTGACGACCCCATCCTTCATGACCTTGCGCAGGAGCCCCCGGTTTCCAAAGGGGAAGGTCACGCGCATTGACTCGCGTGCCACACTGTCGTGGCCGTGCATGCGCTGGAATTTCTCCCTGCTCCAGGCGCCGTCCGGGCCGAGCTCGCGGTCGGCCTCTGCGCGAAGCTTGGCAATCGTGTCGAACTCCGGGTCTGAGTCGATAATGTTGAGCAGCATCTGTACGGCGGTTCCGGCTGTCTGGTGCATACTGACGAAGTTGGAGGCTGCCAGGCGCGTGGCCATGATGCCCAGGTCGTTGACCTCTTGGGGCCGTTTCTTCTGCGCGAACCGCAGCATGACCTGCAGCTGGTCCTGAGGTTGGTCGTCCAAGTCTTTCTCAAGAGCGACCAGTCGTTCGTGGTACTGCGGGGTGATGTAGTCCTTGATCTTGTTCAGGTTCCGCCAGGTGTGCAGACTAGCCAGACGGGCGGCGACAGGGAGGACTATACTGGACAGACAGTTGCCCACAATGGCGGTGATCATCACCCCGTCGGTGATGGACAGGGTGCGCTTGAGATAGTCCTCGTTGCGGCAGAGTGGCAGTCCCACGGTGAAGCGGCTGGAAGAGCCCGCCACGATCATCCGCACCGCGTCGCCCAGGTGCACCTCCTTCCAGGAATTAGTGTCTGTACCGAGCACTAAGGGCACGATGTAGTGCAGTTCATCGTCGATGGCCGGGATGAGCGATTGCATCATGCTGTTCAGGCGCGTCTTGACCAGAGCGAACTGCCACGGGTCGCCCCAGTAGCGCGAGTGGCCGAGCGGGTAGTCGACAGATTGGCTTGCAGGAAGGCCTGCGAGACGCTTAGCACACTGTTGGGCTGCGCGGTGTTCCAATCAGTTGAACTCTCGGGCAGGATCAGATCCGCTCAACCTCCGTAACCGGGCACCAGGGCTGATTTGCCGTTCTTACCGAACTGTCCACCCAGTTAGTTGGGCCTTGATTCAGAGCTGGAAGATGACTTACCCTGTAGTATGCATCCGTGTACAAAGCCGCACAGTCGTAGTAGTATCGCAGGCGTGACTTGAGACTGAAACGCTTCGCGCCATCCGGCTCACCTGCCAATGGTAACCTGAGGTTGTCATATTCGCTGACCGCGAAGACGAACTTGTAAAGGGTTACAGCGACGACGAGAAGACTCGTACCGCGTCTCCTCAACGCGATCGTCTTCGGCATCCCCCGCGAGATGACCACCCAGCAGGTCCATGACACCGTCCGTCGCTTTGCGGAGGGCGCTCGTGTCATCGCCGCAGCCGGTTTCGCGGGCGTCGAGCTGCACGATGCCAACGGCTACCTCCTGACACAGTTTCTGCCCGGCAAATCCAATCTGGGAGCTGATGCATACGGCGGCTCCCCCGCCGCGCGCGCCAGGTCGCATCATTGTCGAAATTATTCAGGCGATCCGCGCCACGGTGCCCGCCGGGTTCTGTGTGGGGATCAAGGTCAATTCCGTGGACGTGGGCAGTGCGGCCGATATGGGGGATTGTATCCAGCAGCTGCGGGCGATCGCCGAGGCGGGCATTGATTTTCTCGAGGTGAGCGGCGGGAGCTTCGAGGATCCGACGTTCAGCACGGGATTGGGCAAGCAGAAAAGGCGAACACGCTGGCTCGGGAGGCATTTTTCCCCGGCACGCCGCTCCTCCTGACGGGCGGGTTTCGCTCGCGCGGGAGGGTGCAACCTGCCCTGAAGGAGGGAGTATGTGATCTGGTGGGGTTGGCGAGGCCGTCAGTGCTTGATCCGATGCTTCCGCGGACGGTCCTGCTGAATCAGGATGCCTCTGACAAGGATGTTGTGATGTATGCGAAGAGAATACCCGGGAGTACCTTGACGGAGAGACTGGGAGTGAAACTGCTGGGAGTGGGCCTGGAGAGGGTAGGTGATGTCTGAAATTAAGTAGGGAAAGACAATGCTGAGACTGATTAACCTAGGACTGGTACACGGAGCGTCTCCATTGGATTGGCGCCATCAAGACCACGATCATGGTCACTGGCACGGCCTTTCCCCTTGGCACTGCGATTGTCCGCAGCATGCTCCGCCGGCCTGACTTGGTCAAGAACACGTACGGACTGTACGCCACGGCGCATGGAGCTGAGAGTCGACTGCGTGAATTCCTCGAGTCCAACAAGCACACCCATAAGATCCTGACGCTGGCCTACACGGAGCTCGCTGATGTCCGCAAAACAGCTGAAGGGATCAATCGACGGGTCGCTATCGGATCACTGCCGCCGATCCAGGCCTTGGTCCTCCATGAGAAAGATGATGTGATGCCCTTTCTGCTGAGTCTGCTCCTGCTACAGAGTATCGACCAGGATCGCGGCCGAATTGTTGTAATCGGAAATAGGACTCGCCGGATGGACGCCTTGGGGAGTTTCACTGACAAGCCCGCTGCGACTAAGCTCAGTGACACCATGCTCTGGTGGTGAGTTGTTACAATATTACTCGCAAACTGTACTGAACGACCGATAGCAGTGAATTGTCCGCGCGTCTAGCGGTGGACCCTGCGCTGTCCAATATCTCGGTGGCGGTGGTGGACCAGGCCTGGCAGCCGGCCCACTGGTTCGAACAGACGCTGCTGGCACAGATCCTGGTGTGGCTAGTGGCCACTGTGGCAATATTACTCCGGCCTGATGTACCGACCAGCATGACTCGACGGTCGGCAGAAGATGTGGCGCGAGTGCTGGCCGATGATAGAAATGGGGTCTGGGTCAGTGGCTGGGTCGTCTCGGAGTCCGACGTCGACGTCAAGCAATGGAGAGAAGCGTGGTGCAATTACCTGGTGAAGGCCAAGGTTATCCAGGGAGACACGACTTTAACGCAATGGCAGTGAGCTCAAATTCAATAATATTATGTCTAGCAACTATGAGCGTAATTTACAAAGGTTTTTGTGGTATCCTCATTCTGACCATCCAGAAAAATAAGAAAGAGTAGAGAGAGGGGGCACCTAAGCCAGCTAATTAAAAAGAAATATGGGATTATGAGAAAAGCCAGGATCCGGAATCAAGTCAGTCCCCAAAGACCCTCCTTGGTGGTCAGCTTGGCCGCGAAGGCAATGAGGCCGCCAAACACACCCATCGCACCGCTGAACATGCAGCATTCGCAATAACCTCCATACCTAGCGAGGATAGCGCCATTGATGGGGGGACCAACAAGAGCTCCAAGTCCCGAAATGGCCATGCCCATTCCCATGTAGGTGCCAATGTCATGTGGGTTGTCAGGGCAGCTGGAGAAGGTAGCTGAGGCACCTGAGACAATTGCGCCAGAGCAGAACCCAAAGAAGATGGCATAGATAATCAAGGTAGCATTACTGGTGGCGCTGGTCATACAGAAGACCAGAATACCTGTGGTCACACCGCCAATGGCAAAGGTGTTAAGGCGACCATACTTATCCGCCAGCGCTCCTGGCACAATCCGGCCGAAGGTTGAGGCGGCATTCACCAGGGCCAGCAGGTACCCAGCCAGCGTCGCGCTCATGCCTTTGGTGGTGGCATAGGTGGTAAGGTAAAACATTGGGGTAAACATGCCTATAAACATGAAGAAGAGTGCAGTGAAGAGCAGGATAAATCGTGGCTGCTTATAGGGGGCCATGAGGAAGAAATGGGTTTTACGAGGTGGGATGCGGGACTTAATAGTAACACAGGAAAACCCCAGAAATGGCAGCATGACAAAGGCGACCACACGGACTGTCCATCTGAAGCCTAGAGAGGAGCCATTAAACCCCTTGGATAGGATAATAGGCATCATGACCCCACCAATTGAGGACCCAGCCACCGCAAGGCCCAGGGCTCCAGCCCGTTTCTTGTCAAAGTATTGCGACACTGCTGCAAAGGCCGGAATCTGCAGAAAGCCCATGACCAGACCCATCAGAACCCCCTGCACAAGCATGGCTTCCCAATAGGTTTTGCACAGACTCAGCATCATCAGGGCGAAGATGTAGGCAATGGCGGAGGGCCAGAAGACCTATTTCCCCTTTCTGTCAGCGCGATCACTCGTCCATTTAGGGGGAGAAGCAGACGTACCTTGGCGCCAAAGCGATCAAAGAGTGGCCCCCCCAGCATTCCTGAAAAGAATTGCAGGAAGGATTGCAGGGAGCCAATCCATGAGATGGCAGATGCTGTGTTGCCTTTTAATTGATGGGTCTGGTAGTATTCTTCAAACGTGCCAAAGGAGTTGGCAAGACCAAGCGTGCAAAGGAAGACTGATGCCGCCCCAGCTGCCACCAGCCAGGCACGGACACCTCCATCCGGGGCTGGACCAGCTCCTGGTGCGTTAGGAGGTTCTTTCTCTGGGATAATATGATGGCCAGGCTCCTGGTCCACGAGGATCATCCGCCCCTCTGATGTGTCGAGCGAGGCAGGCGCTTGTTCAGGGACCGTCGAGGACATGGTGTGTAACTGGACGTTTTCAATGGAGAGATTGTGCGTGCTTCTGGAGGAAAGAAAAGAGGCAAGATGGCAATAGCTTTAAAAACATGAAGCATTCCATACCCCCGAGGATTTCCCGCTTCAGTCCGAGATTAATTTCCGTGCGATACTCCGTAAAGATCGATTATGTTGAGATAATTGATTAACATGACTGAAAGAGGCAATCATCGACTGTCCCCGAGTCCGAGTCCGAGCCCGCGCCGAGTCCGGCGGGGTACTCTAGAGCGGACGGATTTGGCGATCTTGCGGATTGTCTGCTCTGCTTGTAGTTCAGGTTCATCAGCTCGCATCCTTTTTACGTCCCTCCATCCCTGCATGATCATCCCATTCTCTACAAGCTCTACATCCGAAATGGAGAGGCGCCGACGTCCTGCGGTATCGTGTTTCCTGTGTCGCAAACGGAAGATACGATGTAATCGCGAACAACCCTGCAGCAACTGTCTGCGCGCCCAAAGCGGGTCGTGCGTTTACGAGAATGTTAACCAACCTGTCTCCCTCCAGAATCGAGTTGGGCAGGGTGTCCTCCACCACTCCCAGGGCGTGTTGCCCAGTGCCGGAGCATCCAACACCAGTGCCGCGGCCCTCCCCAGCGGGCCATCGAGTTGGACAGGCCCATCCACGCCGACCAGCCAAGTGTCCGCGCCAGACGAGGAGTCACGGCTGTTGAGGCTCCGTATTCGAGAGCTCGAGGAAAAATTGGCGACAGCGAGCCTGATGCGATCTCCATCCACTTCTCTGGCTCCATCTCTGGATATCGAAACCACCACTTCCCGTCTGAGTGGAACCTTCCACGTCCACTGCCGAAGACCTGCGAACGGTCAGTCGGAGACCATCGCCCAGAGTGTCAGTCTAAAGTCGCGATTGTTTGGACAGAGCCACTGGGGAGTCAGTGGGATCTTTCTGGTGAGTTTTCCAAACATAGATGTATCTCTGGGATGAACAAGCAGAGACTGACACGGCTAGATCCGAGACATACTGACCATGCTCGAGCCCCACCTCACTGAGGGAACATCCAAAGCATGGATGGGCATGGAGAAGTGTAAAGCGCTGGCCCGGTGCATCAAGGCACGGCGCGTGCTATCCTTACCCTCGCTCCCGGCCTCCCAGTTGCCGCCCCGAGACCTCGCCGACCAGCTCGTTGATGCCTACCTCTGTACCACCGAATCAATCTATCGGATTCTCCATGTCCCCACCTTTCGCAGGCAGTACCGCGCACTCTGGCTCGGGGATGGCAAACCAGCAGACGTGGGATTTAACGCTCAGATTAGGCTCGTGCTGGCAATCGGCGCAGTCACATACGATGATACATTCTCCCTGCGCCCCTCCGCCCTGCGATGGATCCACGAGGCCCAGTTCTTGGTTTCACAACTGAAGTTTAAATCAAGGCTAACAGTCCAGTCCCTCCAGAATGACCTTCTTCTGCTCTTCGCGCAGGAACGGGTGGGTGCAGGGGGGGAGGCACCCTGGATCGCTATGGGCAGCCTGCTCCGGAACGCAATGTACATGGGCCTCCACCGTGATCCATGCAATCTCCCGCAATGCACAACCCTCATGGCCGAAATTCATCGCCGACTCTGGAACACCATCCTTGAGGTAAATCTCCAGGCCAGTTTGTCATCTGGGGGGTCGCCATTGATCGTGCTGGGCGACTTTGACACAGCCCCTCCGGGCAATTTTGATGACGAGCAGCTGGAGGTGACCGATCCAGCGGCGACGGCAGGATTCACAAAGACAACCATCTCGATAGCGCTCCGCCGAACTTTTCGGCAACGACTCGCACTCGTCAAGTTTCTGAACGATGTGGGCTCACCTGGAACCTACAAGGAGACTCTTCGTCTGGATGCTGAGCTGCGCACGGTGTACAGAGAGCTCATTCACACGCTGCGACCAGGGAGCCAATCTGGCGGCAGCCCGCTTGGCCCCTCACAGTATGAGATCCAGGTGGTGGATTTCCTCATGCAGCGGTATCTCCTATCGCTGCACACCCCATATTTTGGGTCCAGCCTGCACAGCACAAACTTTGTCTTTTCCAGGAAGATGGTGGTCGAGTCCTCGTTGCGCCTATGGGTCGCGGCCTGTCCCTCACCGCTTATGGCCGGGTTGAACGAATTTCGGCGATTGGTGACATGCAGCGCGGGCTTTTACCCCACCGTGAGCCTGCATGCGGCCTTTTTGATTGCTGTCGAGCTCCGGACGCAGTTACAGGAGGACGAGGGTCTGTGTCTCGTGCCCTTGCGGCCCGACCTCCTGGCCGTGCTCGAGGAGGCCAAAGCGTGGTGCCTGCAGGTGCTGGAGGCGGGGGAGACGAATGTGAAGGGCTATCTGCTCATCAGCGTGGTAACAGGCCAGATCCAGGGCTTGACGCGTGGCCTGCGAAAGGACGAGATCGCCAGTCTCTTGATCCAAGCAGTTGAGGATGTGGGAGTGAGATGCTTGCCGATCTTGGAACGGTTGGAGGCTGCACTGCCAGAACAGGGAGTCGATAGCCCTCCCGACATCAGGGAGGATTGTGAATTCATGGTGAGTACCCAGGGATTTGCTTCTCGTTGCTCAAGGATCCTCACTAATACATGTTGCAAACAACACCGCAGGCTGCTTTTAATATGGGTGACACCGACCGAATAGGCTTGTTGTTTAATGATGACCTTGATTTGGAGATGTATTAACTGTTTACTCTGGCGTTATGTATCTATTCGATTTCTGCGTCTGCTGCTAACTGGACATAATGAACTGCATTCGAGATTAGGAAGCATGTACGTAGGCGTCTCCCTATATCATATATCCGGAGCAGGTCTCTCTCGCCGACTTTGTGGCACTAAGCCTTCTCACACTCGACCATGGCGAACTCGGCCTTATCCGAATAGTGCATCCCCGTGACCTTCAGTCCGGCCCGTGCGGTTATCTTCCGGAAGCCCTCCTCCGTCCGTTCCTTGCTCCCGATGGTGGAGAGGAAAAAGTCCAACATGGCGGGAAACCAGGGGGAGGATTCGCCGTGACCGTATCCGCAATCAATAGCTTGCTGTGCGGCGCCATGGCATCTACCACATGCTGGAGGATAGATACACACTCATCATCCTCAAAGCCCCGGAGGATTCGACGGATCATGTACACCAATGCCCCTAAACCGACCGGCTTCCCTGGGTTCGGGACGCGGGGACGCAACGTACCCTTTACCGGTTGTTCCTTGTTAAAGTCTATGGCCATCAACTGCGCACTCCGGATGTCCTCGGACCCAACCGTCTCCACCATCTCAATCACCCTCGGCAGATCCTGCAGCACGCATCGACTGATCGGGATCTCTGGGATCTCTCTGCAGATGGCCTGCAGGGTCCAGCCCTTGGAGCCGCCGATGTCCACAATCAGGGGTCGTTCCTCGTCTTCGGCCGCCTCGGACACGACCCAGCTGAAGTCATAGAAGCCGGCATGAGGATACTGGCTCGCCATGGCGGACATGCTGAGTAACAATGTTGGCGGTCCTTTCGGGATGTCTGCTCATAAGATCCCCAACGGTTAGCTCGGGTGCCCCTTCGGTGAACGCCTTAATGGTGTTCAGGCGACCCGTGGGCTCTTTGATGCCGTACGTGTCGTAGTAGCGGGGCATGGAGAGGAGGACAAGGACGTATTCGTCATACCTGGAGCGATTAGTAGGTGTTACGGGGTATCTAGAGAGGCGGGTAGAACTGCATGCACTCACCCCATCAGCCACCATGCACGGAGGGGATTGATACTGGCAACGGGACGTGTCCGGGCCGTGTGCGCCACACGGTCTTTGCCCCCTGGATCAGAAGCCCAGTCGCTACTAGGAGCCAACAGATACGGGGCTGAGGTGGAGACCCATTGGAAGAAGCCAGACTGCCTCCTCACATTCGCGGATCCTGAGGGTGGACTTTCTGGCACACTGGGTTTTGTTATCGAAGCAGGCCTTGTGCAAGACCATGTCCTTTGAGGATGGCCTTGCAGGCCATGAACGAAAACAATGCTGTTGGTAAATTTAGTTAGACGTTCTTTGTGAGAGTATATAGCGGTCACACTATTGGGACCCAATGAACTCTGCTACGGGTTCAACAGCACACTGATGTAGAAAGGGCAGAGAGACCGGTCCATCCAGCTGGGGGAGGAGCCATCGTAATGATTATGACCAAGAACTACTTTTTTCGCACTTTGAATTTATGATGGGCGCTGGCATTGGTTTTTAAGCCCCTGAATGTAGGGAATGCCGAGGCTTGAAGAATGGAGAGGCAAATGCGCGGGCGATGAATAGAATACTCTCTCTTCTTATTTCTGTTCCATTCTATTGGTTATTCTGCCTTTGCCCAGCCTCAGGTACTAATTGTCTCCGATCTCCTTGTCGCAGGAGGAAAGAATACGAACACCTTGCCTATGTGCTGTATATCATTTTGTTTGACTTTCCTCTTTTTCATCCCAACTACTCTCCTCAGGAGCTATTCTCTTCATTACATATCTACTGCTGTCTGAATCACCCGGAATGACCAAAACTGCCTCGGCTGCTGAAGAGATTTCTGGAAATCCAGCAATCGATACTCCGTCTCTACTTTGCATCATGCTCATCAAATCTCGTCTCATGGCTATAGCTATGCTTGGTAGGAGCTACACTCACTTAAAGGCACTGCCACTGAAGAAGCGGTTGGTGGACGTACCGCTAAGGAGGACGTGCTTCCTGCGTTCGACCTCCCATCAAAGCCCATTCTATTGAGGGGAATGCCATCCCTGTTCCTCGCTGTTCCCCCCCGAGTTTCATGAAACAAGCGTGGACGGTATCTCGACTTTATATAGAAACTCGATGCCCTCCGAAATACAGTCAACGTGGTCGAGACGTAGATAATGGTGTTCCAAAAGCCCTGTAGAGAAAGGACCAACGCGCCAGCCAAGTTCAAGCCGAAATTAGGCTCCTCAGGGTGGACGAGACCGTATATCCGGTTAATCGACGACGGGATCTGGGGAAGAGAACAAAGTTAGTAAATTCGCTCATAATTAGAGACATGTCCCTAGGTCAGTAGGAGGAAGAAAAAGAACCATACCCATGTAACCACCATGGCTATAAAGAAGAGAAAAGAATATCTCATATAGCTCCACATTGCTCTACTACTTCCGTTGTGAGCATCTATCCTGTTCTGAGATCGGGTTTGTTGAGATTCAATGCAGACAGCATACGGAGCTTCCCCCCCAGCTGCGAGGTGCCCCTCAGTGTCTGTGGTTAATTGGACGGTGATTGAGTGAGTCTTTCTGATAGTGTCGCTGGCAGATAGTGTATCTTGTGCACTTTTGAAATCTCTGTGTTTGCGGAAGATGTCGCTACCCACTTTGGCATATATCGCAAATGTTGCGATGCTGACAGCCCTTCAAAAGACAATGAGAAAGGGACACAATAAGGTTGGATTATGCACAAACATACCATACTGGACCATAGAAACACACTAGACGGAGGAATTGCCATGAGCTGCTGATCGAGCACCATATCTGACTGAGCATTACTACGTTGCTTCATTCGTTAATATCTGGGTACACCTACCAAAGCAGGTCCATAGATCCTTCCTCGCTCAGCAGTGTTGATGGATATCAATACGACTGCGAGCACCAGAGGTAGCCCATAACATAGAAGGAAGTACCATTTTTCCAGCTTCTTTATATCTTCTTCCGCGTACCTCCGGTAAAAGGTAAGATAGATATTCAGGGCCATGCAGAAGGACCATAGTGAGTCCGCAGGCATCCAACTGTGCATGCCCAAGGTATTAATAAATCATGTATGTTGCAAGATCTATCAGTGTGAGGAGTGGGTGGTGACGTACTACTGGATGAAAAATGCCTGTGTTTGGCATAAGGCAGAATTTGGACCTGCTGTAACTCCATCTACGCTCATCAGAGAAGCAACAGCGGAGAAAATATTCCCAAAGGATGCATAGAAAATTAATCTGTTGACTGGCCTGCGAAAGGCAGCCGATATGCAATATGTGGTTAAGATTAGCAGGCAGCCCAGTAGGGAAGCCGTCCCGCCCACTCTCTCTGCTAATGAGACTGCGCGAAGTTGCTCCTCGGTCAAGGCCATAGAATGTAATTGATCCTCATTTTTGGAAGCCGCTGCATGACTACGCTTTACGGTATTTAACATGATCAGAGGGATGCTCACTGCCTTGGCAATGGTCCTGGAAACAGATTGCAACATTGGTTCACCCAAACCGCCACTACATTCATTCGAGAGCGGAGACGTCTATTTATTTAAGTTGCTCGGCAGAGGAAGTAAGACATGATTTGCTCGTCCTTTCCAGCATTCAGTGGTGCTTCTGTTTAGCATGATCCTGCGGGATCGGGGGCGGCGTCTACGAACATAGCGAGGTACTAGAATGACGGAATTTAAGTTCAAGGGGACCTTGGGACTTTTCCTTTTGCCACTAAATTCAGTATTTTCCACCAATCGTGACAAACCAATCAGTAAAGATCCAATGCACTCACTCCAATGGTAAGCCAAGTCGTCCTGTGAACTCTGTTCGCACTGGGTAACAGGTGGATGGAGGGGGAGCTTGGAAACACAACAGCAACACCTAATCTGAGATATGCCACTCTCAGTATTAGTGATTATCAATGCACATGTTGAGTACAGAGCGCAACAGCCGAACCAGGCCTATTGCATCACTTGCTATAGACCAGATACGGTGTGTAATGTTGGGATGCGCCTGATTTTCTACCAGCCAGCCAACTCAGGCCAGAGCCAGCGCAATTGCCAGCCTAGGCTTCCCGTATTGTCCAACCGTGGACGTGTCCAAGTGTTCCAGAACCGGCCACGTGCAACACTGCGGGGGAGCTTGGCGGCCCCCTGCTATATCTGGTCCAGTTCAAACCTAAGGGTACTACAAAGATTTGCTAGATTTATTAAGTAGGGGCATAAAGAGAAAATTATGCAAAGAAAAAAAATTTTAAGGCAGATACTATGCATTTCATTCTTATAGCGCGGCCTGGCTGAGCGGGAGCGGTTCAAATATTCCTCCTGACGCTGTTGCGCGGCTGCTAGTTCTGACTGCCATTTCAGTAGCTTCTTTTATCTTGGTGGTGATCACTTCACAGTGATCACCCCGTTCCTTCGGTGTACGGGCTATGCTTGTGACGGCTGTTCTCTGGTCCAGTCTCTAGATATCCAATGGCTCTGGATTGTAGCCATAATCTAAGAAGCGTGGACTCCCAACTTGACTTTTCTTAAGTTTGTTTTAAAGTAATAATGGAGGAGCTGCTGGTAATCGTAGTATTCGATGACACAGTTGGCGGCGCGCCAGAAACGGCCCTCATTGAACCATCCGTCTGCCGCTTTCCACCGCCTGCCCAATCCTGAAGTACCACTGCCCTTCACAGCCTAGGTGGGAATAATGAATTAGAAAGCAGATGCAAGATGTGAAAGCTTAGTTTTGGACTAGGTCCGCAACTCGTGCTAATTGTGGATATCACCCACCGTCACTTGAAAAGGTAGCCAGAAATGGTAGAACAAAGGGTGTCGGACCCCAGTTGTTTTCTTTCCATCACTTTTTCTCGCCGTCATTGAAGTTTCGAGGCGTGTTTATTGGGGATCTTAATTAGTATTTATACTCGGCCGTAATTCACCATTGAGTAGCGCGCCTTTCTTCTGCATGCACTTCAGACAGCATATTGCGGAACGGTCCTCGTACATAGACACAGAGTACCAACACTTAATTACGTAAATGGGTCGTCCGACCGAACCAAATCCGTTCTGTCCACGTCATCCAGATAATCTCCCAGTCGGGTTTGGGATACCTTTACCTGGTGGGGCTCGGCGTCGGCTTTCGCATCTCACATTGCGCACTTCGGACTCAGACGGCTGATAAATTCGGAAAGCTGCCGAGACCCTCGATTCCAGGTGGAGCTGCTGACCAGGAGACGGCTAGTTCATTTTTGTCCATGTCTGCAAATTGAATGCCACTTTGCGACACAAATTGAAAAGCACTGGATAAGAAACCGGCTGACTTCTTGGCAATTCGGGAATCCCACGTGACATCATATTTTTTGCCTTCGCCCGACCGTCTACTCTCTCCAGGTCGCGACGAGGCGATCTACCGAAAAGCGTGACTTCTTTGAAAAATGAGGTCGACACTCGCCTGTCAATGGTGCCGGTGAGTTTTCCCATCCCTGCATGTCCACTGTGGTACTTCGCGCTCTCAGCTGCCATCTCCCGAATGGCCAGCATGCAGATCTCGATGAATGACCTGCTAAGACAATCGGACCCAGCAAAGCCAAAATCAAATGTCATCATAGCGGTTCCCCGCCATGTCGATCCTGCTCGCAGAATCCTGAGCGAGAATGTATCCTGACCAGACCAAGGCATCAATCGAATCGACCCAGGAGAGAGGGCTTGGCCAGAAGCACTGAACGACAAGGTGGAATTCAAGACGCAGGCGCTGCCTATGCAGCCCCCTACACAAATTCCACAAGCGGCCGACTAGCTTTAGTCGAGGGTGATGTGGGCTCCAAGCGAGATCAAGGTACCAAACCGACCCAAGACCACGACCCTTTGACAAACTTGGATCAAGAGCTACTTGAAAAGGCATTCCGTATATATGTCAGACAGTTCCCTGAATTCGGGTTCTTCCACCAGCCTACCTTCTTGAAACTTTTCGACAGCAAGGCTATTCCCAACTTACTACTCTGTGGCATTTTGTCCCTGAGTGCCCGATTTATTCCGGAGCTGGTCCAAATCTACGGAACTCCTTGGAAAGCATCTGAAACTTTCGCAAATCATGTTCGTCAGACTATCATGAGCCATGTTGCGACGGCCATGGATATCAATACGGGTCAGACGTTATTAATGCTGAGTTTGTATGACTGGGGCAACGGCAACGGCTCCCGGGCCTGGACGTACAACGGCATGGCCACGCGCATCGTTCATGGCATCTACGCGCAAGCCAAGGAATCTGCAGTCGCCAAAGATTCCCTTCACAACAATATCCGGCTTGAGGAAGCATGTCGTACTGCCTGGGCGTGTTTTCTACTTGACTCGATGATTGGGTGTGGCAAATGCCAGGCGTCCAATTTCTCGATGAGTATCAGTGGAATCCCACTGCCCTTGAACGAAGACCACTTTGCTTTCGGGTATGGCCCAGAGTCTAGGCCTTTGTTTCTTACGATGTGGGACCTCGAGAACAATGACTACGACTCACCGAGCCTTTCACCGCAACCCAAGATTGGATGTGATAGTGGTCTCACTTTGATCATCCAAGGCTTTCACATTTGGCAGACTATTTCTTCCTGGGTCTCCTCTGGCGGAAGACGACGCGAGACATCGTCGTCTAGGGAGCCGCCATGGCGAAGCCGCTCGTTTTGGTCTCGCAGCATGGCTGCGCTGGAGGACTGGCGAGCATCGCACTCACCACAGGTAATCTATTCCTCGTCGAACATGAATCTGAATATCTATATCTCCCGCAACGAAGGAGAACGCTTCGCCGTAATTAACCTCCTCTACTACCTCAGTCTGATCTTTCTCCATCGAGAATACATTCCTTTGATACCTTACTCCACTAGCTGTCCACGAGGCCCGGTTGATCCACCATTGTTGCTGGAAGAGGCTCCAGCTGGGTGGTGGGATCGGAGTGCGCAAGCCTTGCTGGAAGCTGCATCGAATATCATTCATATTATGCAGGAGCTCGACTCGCGCCGGATATATTTTCAGACCCCCTTCACAAGCTTCTGTGTCTTCAGCGCGATGACAACACTTGCGTACGCAATTGCATGGCCGCATATGGTGCCCGGCCTCGACAGCCAACTTTCATCGAATCTGTACTCTTGGGGTGCGGCGTGGTTGCGCCAGTCGTGCAAACTCTGGAAGGTGTCGAATGGCTGGTATAGGACTCTGCTCACAATGTACCAAGCCTACATGCAAGTCAAGGTCGACCCATTACAGCACGCGACCGTGAGATGGGACGTATTTCCCGAATTGGAAGAGAATATTCAGAGGCTAGCCGGGTCGGAGGCTGTTGATCTGGCGCGTATTCCGACTGCGAACATCCTCTTACTGCTACAGAGACAGCAAAGGCCAATTTCACACGGCGGCCAGGGAAACACCCGGCTGGACACTGAATTTCCTACAGATGGCATACGTAGCTTGCGAGCGCAGGAAATATTCTCACACCAACAGGGCGAGCCCGGGCAAGATCCTCTCGGGGCGATAAGGCCTCCCAACTCCGAGCCCGTCTTGGACCAGGACTTGATCGCAAGCATACTGTCAGACCCTTCTGGTGACGGGATCGGGCTGCTTTTTGATACTACACAGGTCTTTGAGCATTGAACTGGGAGATTACAGTGATGATTCACTTTATTATGATCGCGATCCATCACTTTTCCAGACAATGTGGACAAGAGGAGCTAAGTGATACAAGCCTCTACGGACTCCTGCACATGCTTTACCATTTCCCACTTCACGACAAAATGCGTCAAAGAGATTGCACAGCTGCTACTGTACATCTCGTGTTTCATAGTGAGCCAGAATTTTCTGGGAAAACTTAGGTCCTCATGATCTACTCCGCTCCAGCCCACATAAAGACTCACGTCAGTATGGAAACGGTCCCAACAACTCTTGAATGAGCTACCTTCACTGAGTGGCCGAATTCTGGTCAGGATTGGCCTCACTCTCTGAACCCAGGGCTTCATAATGGGTGTGAAAACTAAGGCCTACATATCCATCAGCATGTTGACCGGGATCGCACTCGGGGATTGAACCGTAGTAAGACACTTACTCATGTGTTGTCAACATTGAGGCCTTGGCATATCAGACAGCAAGATACAGAAAGCTCTACCCTAAGGCAGTTCTTGTAAGGTATATACTAACTCTGGATTCGAGCAGCCTTTGTGCCCAGTTTGTATTACGAAATAATACAGGTCAAGCCTACAGTACACTCTTCGCAACCTCGATAGCTGCTCAACATGACCATGAAATCGGACCTTCTTGCCGTTCCACATCGCCATGCCCTCTCCATACGACTCACTAATGTTGACGTAAGTGTAATACTGGTCCGCCAAGGTAGGAAGGAGATCCGCATTGCGAAACCACTCTTGTAAATATAAAGCTAGCACTCCTTGCCGGAAGGTCGAGAAAGAAGCGATGAAGTATTTGTAGCCAGTGGAGCTACTCATGCTGATATCCCAAGCGCAGCTTTTGGGTCCCACAGGGATCATCTCGTGTAGCCCGTTGGGATACCACACGGATGCAAAAGCTGTCTTGGAAGCTCCGTTCGAGTTGGGTTCTATGGTCCATGAGATGAGGACTTCACCGGTCTCTAGGTATAGCCAAAGGCATCTAACTAATGGGGCGGCCCATTGAGGGTGAAATCCGAAATCCGAAATCCGAAATGCAATCGCGAATGTCAAACCCTAAATCAGAGGCGAAATGCTAAAACGTCAAAGAATGACTAAGTGCCGTGTCTTGATTGGGCAGGATCGGCCAAATGTAACTGAGACATGGGAGAACAACTCATGACGTCCGCAGCCTCGATATAGATCTATTTATGTCTGCGATCCTCCCAGCGTTTCAGGCTTAGAACTACAATCCTTCTTCTATCAGTGTGGAACATCTAAAGATCAAAAAATGGCTACTTCTACCAAGATTTACTTGACCCCAGCAAATAGGGGCGTTTTCAGTGCGCCCGGACTCAGCTGGGCATCCGCTCGTAGAGTGACCGAGGTTCTCCAGCACGACATGGAAAACCATCACATCTATCTCAACAATATTGAATTCCACGGTGAGCAGTCTCTACTGCCTATGGGATAAAGCGCATTTGTTCGCTAATATATCACAAGACCATATCGTGCATTTCATGCTTACAATTTGGGCTCTGGGCGCCTCTCCCGAAACAATTCAGGTGCAATATGAGCGAGAAAGCCGGCGCCAGCGGCCCGTATTTCCCAGAGATGAAGCTGTAATCCAGTCTTTCTTTGACAAGAAAGGATTTATGAAGCATTTGTATCGAGAGGAGCACTATTCCAACTATCTTGCCTTCTTCCAACGCGTGATCGCGGAGAAGGGCGTCCCCGCTGTCATCAATGAGTATCTTTTCGGCGGCGATGAGCTCGCCGAATCGCTGCTTTCACGGATGTTCGCGGGTCTGGTCCACCCTATTATCCATCTGGGGTTCGGCATTGAGTTCCAGCAGCCGGCGATTGTCGCTCAGGCCTTGGCCCAGGCGTCAGTGCACCCGGACTATCTCGCAGACTGCTTCTACAGGCCCACTGTGGCCTCTGCTAAATCTCACGAGACAAGCAAGAGTCTGATGGAGATTATGGAAGAGATGCGTGCAAATAAGACAATTCGAGACGCGTCCGTCCACGGCGATACCGATGTTTTTGAGCATGGTATCTTGTCGAGAGCCAGCGAAGAGGTCATTAAGCATATCAGCCAATGGACAGTATCTGAAAATCAGATTAATGACAAACTGGTTGAGATGATCAACACCGCCGGTATCTTTCAGCCCGTTCTGATTTCGGAAGATGTACTGATGAATATATAGTCTACTGGACTGCGACCGCCCAGAACCCGAAGAAGCAGTTAAAGCTCGACTTCTTCTTCATTCACGCCGTGAATCTCTCCATTTTTTTCAAGGCTTTTATGGAGCTGCCATATTTGAGTGCTGCCAACAAAGCACGTCTGCTGGAGATGAAAGGTCGCATGGATCTTTTGATCTGGGCATCGCGGAAAATGCCGGACCCGCAGCCCGACGATGTTCTCAACTATCCTATCCATCAAGGTTGGCCGGAAGTCTTCGCCAAGAGCTACCTTCATCCGACCGATGATGGCCACTTGGCTAAATTTGTCCGTACTGTTGCCTTGGCAGAGGAGCTCTGTCGACCCTATGAGGAATCTGGGAAGAAGCTTCCCGTCAGCGGAGATATGTGGCTCCAGATCGGTAATATCGGTAAGGTTTCGTCCTTCTTCAGCTTGCTTGAACTGCCTTTTAACATACCATGACATGTTAGCTGTTGACTCGGTGGGTGTGATCTTCAAGGACCTGTGGGTGCGAGGTTCTGGGTTTCCAGAGTCCTGGGAGAAGTTCGGACCTCGAAAGTAGCTGTCAACACGAGCCTGGAGACTTGAGCTATAGAGGCAGTAGTAGTCGTGTCTGCTGGGCATAAAGCGGCACCTGTAAAAATAGCCGGGCTTAACGACAGGCGTTTTTCGGTTTCGTTCCAATGGCTTGCCATACCGAGGTTGCAGTTGTCCAGTTATGACAAGTAATAACCAATGGCCACGCTTAATACCTACCATAATCCGGTTTTTCACGGTACAAGCCGAAGAAACTGGGGGTGCAACGAGAGTGCGGAGGCAGTGACACCAATTTCCGGAAGCACTGTACTAATAAGGGCTGGGGATGAAACTAAGGAGAGAGATTGGGGACGCGTTCAACAGCGTGTCGAGTCTGCTGGGAGGCTCAAGCCAAGGTAAGAAACGTAATCCAGACACCGGCTCACGGGCCAAAACGGTCAACGCTGTGCTGGACTTCGCCGAGGCGTCTCAACGGTTTCGCAGTCGCGCGCCACAAGCCACAAGGGCAGCCTAATAATGGGAGCGGCAACTAGGCCACGACAGGCCGTGATGAGGCTCTAAACTCGTTTCAGGAAGTGGAAGACTCTAACATGTACATACTCTGATATATATAATTGTTGTATCCCGCATATCGCCAGGCGAGGGAGTTCAAAGAACAAAGACGCAGCTATGGATACCATCGACAACTTTGCAGAATATTTGGTCGATAACTTTTTCATGCCTCCTGAGTTGATGCCGCCTACGAGGTCGATATATCCTGGCATGAGCTAGCTTTTTGATACGTTGTAGTTAGGGAGTCATGGGTGAAAACACCCCAGCCTACACCTGTATCATTATTCGCAAATCAGAATGCACCAGCGGGCACCAAAATTCGTGTGTCCGGGTTATGACAAGGGTGCCTTAAACATGATTACTGTCGCTCTGTTGTCTCCCGCAAGTTCGATAGAGCTGAAGCGAAAAAGCGGCTCGAGAAGGACGAGATTAGCAAAGATGATAATGGAGAGCTCTTAAGAAATCGGAGGAATGACCAATTCAAATATCTAGGAGTGGCACATATAATTCCCCATTCCCTTGTGATGGTCTCTTCTGAAGAGTCAGAATATGTACGTGATCGCATAGGGCGATCAGGTGCTTAGTGTCTTTCTAATTATAAGCATAGAGTGAGTCCAAAAGGGCTGCTTTGTACATTCTGGATATGTGCAATCCGGATATAGGCCCTCTTGTCGCAGGACTAGACATTGATAGTCCCTACAATGCTTTGACGCTAACTCACAATTACCATCGGTTGTTTGGATAGTTTGAGATATATTTCGAACAGAAGGACCTTGGCGTTGAGTACATATGTGTCATCAATTCTACCGAACAAAGGCCTTTTTTGCGCGATTCTCTATTTCCAGTTACCCAGGAGCATCATCTCAGTCCTGACCTTACTATTCATCCACCCGCTATGAAGCTTCGTAAGGCCCACTGTGCTATTGCACATATTCTGAAACTCAGCGGTGCAGGAGAGTATATAGAGAACACTTCGGGGGATGACTGAAATCTGTGTCAACGCAGATGGCTCTACAGATCTAGGACGCCTTGTAAGATCACAACTGGGAAACTGGTCAAATGCATTAGCTGTTTTCTAGCTCGATTGCTCTGGTGACTAAGTTGTATGAACGAATATGAAGACGACAATTGAGTGGGGACTATTATCTTGACTAGCTGACTTGCTCTTATTCTGGCGTGGCTGTGCCGCTTTGCAGATAAATAGCCGTGTCTTTCCGTGGCTAATAACGTTGAAATCAAACCTTATCGAGTCTAACCGATGCATACTATATTAAGCATGACAGGTCGAGACATGGCTGTGGGGAGCTCAGCAGCACAGTATTCATAATGGGTTCTCCCAGTGATATTATTTTTATCGCACTTAGAAAATTTCATCCTTAACGAGGTTCGATCTGTATCGATCCCTAACAAGTCAGGATTTTATAAAATAATACGTAATAAATGAAGCTTGTTACAGATAATACAGGTTCAAAAACCTCTGGTTTACTATCGTTCCTTTATACCTTTATATAGGTTTTAAGTATACTCTTCTCTTCCCCCCATTTTCTCCTCATCACTAGCATCTACGCCCAGTACAAGTAGAGCGGGGTAATGAAAACAGCGGATCAACTCTTAATGCATGGTATTTATTGGCGATACGCCCAGGCAAATGAAAATCATTATACAAATACCCCTCCCAAGTTTCTGACAGCTCTCATTGTGGATTTGATTCGATGTGCATGATTAGGAAAGCGCTTTGACACTTTACCATCCCTCTGAGCCTCACCATAGGCGCAACAAAAAACTTAATCGTAAAGGTAAACGAGAGACAACCACCTGCTCAAATACTGTATTTAAGGATGATTGTTTGGGATTGGCCCGAGGGGTGCATAGCTAGCCTGAGACCTTGTATTGACCATCCTCCAGTTCCACCTTATTAATCTGTCAATGCGGTGGGCAGGGTAAGTATTACTGATAAGACACCCGGCCAATAAGCTGCTATTTTTCCAGTGGCATGATCTCTCGCGGACCTGACGATATTATTGTGCGATTTTGGTGGTTCCAGTTGGCTACACCGAATACCTCGCTGGACGGGTGCGAGGACTACTACTTCGATTATCTAGGAAATCCTACCCACGGACTCCACCTGATGTACTTGTATGTGCAGGAGGTGGCTTTAGCTACTTAGCGGCAATTAACTCCGCGACACTTGTAGAATCCGTCGCGTTGATAAGTCCTGACAAGATCTCCCCGGGCAGACCAGCCACGGCCTTCGCCCAGTATAAATCCACCTTCTCCAACTGAACCTCAAACTCCGTCGCCACATGCTGACCCCGCTGGGTGATGTACCACGATAGCGTATAATAATGCTTCTGGCGGTCCTTGTGGCTCCAATTCCGCGACGGCTCGGGAACGTCCAGGAAGCAGAGCACGTTGGATGTGTTCGTGCGGGGGTCGGCCATCAGAGATGGAGGCAGCGAATGCGTGAGCCCATCAAACTCAATAATATCGAGAGTGGTCTTGTGCACGGCCGAGAGCCAGTCGTGCACGGTTGCGTCCTTGCCAATGCTGGTGCTGAATAAAGAGCGACAGAGAAGCGGTCCGACAACGGAGGGGGCCGATGGCCACGGGACTGTGCGGCCCGAGAGACTGACGGAGAAGCCGACGCGGGCCCACGAGGTGATTCTATGGAGAAAGAGCGCCCATGCAGCGTAGATCATTGTGCTGGGGGTCACAGAGAGACGGCGAGATGAGGCGTCGAGGGCGGCCCGGGTGATGGAAGGGGATGACTGGAGACGGATGAGATTGAGGCCTTCCGGTGGGGGAGGTTCTTTCGGGGCCGGGAGTTGCAGGACGGATGAGGCAGGTAGGGGCTCTAGCATCTTGGTGAAACATTGCGTTGCCCGCTCGATGTTGGCTTGTGTGTAGCTGTGCATGAACCGCGCGAAGTCCTTGAACCGGGGGCCTGGTGCTACTTCGCCACCTGCTAGGGCGGTTTCCAGGTCCTGCGACAGGATGGCAGAGGAGAACACATCAGTGAGGACGTGATGGATCCGCGTTACAAAGGCGAGTGCTCTGCGGCCGGGCACAGAGATGCAGGTCACCGCGCAGTAAGGGACTTCGTTGTCGGCGAGCGTGGTCCTGCTCACAGCCTGCCATGATTCTTCTTCAGCTGCCTCACAGGCTTGCTCGAACTCGTCTTCAGACACGCTGACCTCGTCCCAGGTGAGATTGAGTCGGCCAAGGTCGGAGAGGGTGAAGTCCGTTAGATCAAACCGCGTGCAGAAGATGCTGTGTGCTGAGAGCGTCTTTTCCATAGCCCCACGAAGGTCACTGGCGGTAGGAGTTTGGGAGGGGTCCCCGATGTACTTGGTCAGGCCAATGATAGCGAAGGTATGTGGTGTCTCTAAAGACCGGGTGAGGAAGAGCCTCTGCACAGGTGTCGCTGTAGCCTGCAAGCTCCTGAATCCTCCCTCCGCAACTTCGGCGTTAGACTGGCTTCTCAGGCGGTCTTCCAGCCGTTCGATCGTGTCTAGTTTGAGGACTTGCGCGGCAGGAATTGAGTACCCTCGCTGCTTTAGAAAGTTTGAAACTTGAATGGCTGCCAACGAGTTTCCTCCCAGTCGCGTGAAAGACGAGCTCCGGTCTGTATTCCTGAATCGATTCTGCAGACACCGGGAAAAGGCCAAACGTAACGCGTCATAAGTCGTGAGACTGTCTGTCTTGAGAAGACAAGCGCCTTCGTCGGGAGCATCATCTTGGCCCAGCTTCTCGTCCAATTGGGCCTGGAGCGCTAAGCGATCCGTCTTACTATTAACACTGAGAGGGAAACTGTCCATGGCGAAGATCATATCAGGGATGACAAACGGATCTGCACGACTCTGCATAAATTTGCGTAGTTCTTCGACATCAACTGTGGACGGTTGCACACAGCCCACAAGCCTATCATGCCACTGGAAAGCCACGGCTAAGTTGACCTGAGGATAAGCCTGCATCGCCGGTTCAACTTCAGTCTCCAGATTGATTAAGAAACCACGATTTTTGACGAGCGAATCTGCACGACCTGCCCATACCAGCTGTCCATCTTCGGTCCTGCGTGCGAGATCCCCTGTCCTGTAGAAGTGCTCGCCGTTCCATTCGATGAACTTTTTCGCTGTTAGTGTAGGATTGTTGAGATATCCAGCAGCCAAACCGGGCCCTGAGATCAGGACCTCGCCATAGTTGGACTCCTTCATCTCCTCATCGACCAAGACAACCTTCACCCCGGGGATAAGTTCGCCAAAAGGCACCTCCTGGTCTGGATGCAGTTCCCCGAAACTGATCACACAGGTCGTTTCTGACGGACCGTATGTGGTGAACACTTTTCTGCTTTTCGTAATCCACCGTCGCACAACCTCCAGCTTTGGCGCTTCAGCACCCAGGAATATATAGCGAACGCGATTGTAAGAGCCCGACGGATCCAACGCAGCAAGCATAGACGGTGTCAGGTTTAAGGATTGGCAAGTCGTCGCTACCTCTGGGAAGTCTGATGGCGAGGCCATCACCAGCGTGGCACCCTTGGACAAAGTCGTCCAGACAACTGCAGCGCAGCCATCGAAGGCGATGGAGAACGCAAGCAGGCACCGACCTCCTTGCTCCGCGGCGTCTTCGAGCTCCTTGCTGTGCTGCACGGTACAGACTGCGTATATACCCCTGTGATACACCATCACTCCTTTCGGCTTGCCCGTTGTGCCCGAGGTGAAGATAATCCACGCAAGGTCCCCGGCCCGCATTCCGCTTCGGCGTGCCTCCAGCTCCACTCGTAGGCCGTCCTTGTCCGATGGTGACGAGACAAGCCATTCCCTCTGGAAATTCACCGTGATGACAGGTAATTGGAGGCCGGGACAGGTGCTAGTGATGACCGCTACCGAGGAGGCCAGCTCGGAGAGTGCGGCCTCGATCCGAACACGACTCCAGGCGGCCACATCCATCGGTGCATAGCAGGCCCCTACCCTCAAGATCCCGATCACTGCCGGAAGCATCTCCAGCGACATTTGGGTCAACAGCGGCACTCGGGCGCGTGGCTGTACGCCGGCCAATAATAAGGCGCGACTAACATGGAGAGAGGCATTGCGGAGAGCCCCATAGGTGAGGGATTCGCCTTGCCATTCCGCTGCGACTCTCTCCGGGTATTTCTCGGCCCATTCGTCGAAGAGGTCGACGACGGTGCCCTCTAGTGGCTCTGAGGAATGTGAGCCTTTCATTGTTCGAGTGGTGAGATTGGAGATAGTATGCGGGGTGGGCTGGGAGATATGTGGAGCATCCACGTAGAATCCTTCGGTTATGGACCAAATAGCTCCATTGTTTTATAGATCCTCTTGTGTATCTGGAAATATCCGTCTTGGCTGAGTTTAGGTGCCAGTTTCACGGGTGACAGTCTGTGGCTGACATCCGGTGGCTGACAGCCGAAATAGCTGCTGCAGGGTGAATTCCCTGATATGTGACTAGAGGGTTGTCAGCCATCAAACCACTGCGCCAAAAAGGTGTCTAGACGACCATTTCTCACATAGTACGGAGTAGAAATGATAGGCTTATTCTGGTTGACAAGGGTCTAGAGGTAGACCAAATGCTCTGACTGGTGATTGGGGCTTGTAGCCCAGAATAGCGTGTGCGCTAATGACTGCACTTATCATGCAATGTCACCGTCATTTCTTGCTTTTCCCCATCTGAAACTCTTCCTTCCCTCTTTTTGCCCCAGAGAGTAGAGATTCGGAGGAGCGGGAATCGCTGTTTCAAAAATGCCCTTCACTAATGGGGAGGGCAACATGCTCCATCTCAACCACGAACAATTTGACTTCAACCCTCAATTTGAGAGTCTCTTCTTCTCGATTATTCCCTCCATCTTGTTTATTCCATCGTCGCTATGGCGAACTGTGGCACGGATACGCAAGCCTGTTGTGGTGAATGCGCCCATCTTGCAATTCATCAAAACAGTATGCCCTCCTCTATTACACGGTTTCTGCCCGCTGACTGCTTAGGGTGCCATCGTAATTTACGCTGGCTTGGAACTTGCACTCCTTATACTAGCCGCGGTCGGGTGCTTTAGCATTAGCCGCATGTTGACCGCTTCCTCCGTCCTGCAGCTTATATCGGCCCTTTTCATGCTGACGGTAAGTGTGGTGGATCACAGCCGCAGCCCTAGACCATCGATGCTGCTTAACAGCTACTTGTTTCTCACCCTTCTCCTCGATATCGCCCGAGCAAGAACGCTGTTCCTGTCGTCAGACCATGGTTCCGAGATCGTGTACAGCAGTATATTCTGTGCATCGGTCGGGCTGAAGACGGCCATCTTGTTACTAGAGGCCTGCCAAAAAGCAAGGTGGGTGACCTGGGACGCAACGAAACACAGCCCCGAGGAGACGAGCGGAATATTTTCGCTAGGCGTCTTCTTCTGGCTGAATAAGCTCTTCTTGGCTGGCTATAGACATACCTTCACAATCGAAAGCCTCTACCCCCTCGACAGCACCTTCGACGCACAAGCCCTGCATGAGGAATTCGCGAAGAACATGGACTACACAAAGCTGAAGGGAGATACATTCGGCCTTCTGAAGGTGCTAGTACGTACACTGTGGGTGCAACTACTCCTACCTATTCCTCCGAGGGCGGCTTTGATTGCGTTCTACATCTGCCAACCTCTCTTCATCGAGAGTCTCGTCACGTATCTGTCTCATTCAGAGCCAGATCCAAATGTGGGATATGGGCTAATCGGCGCTGCCATACTCATCTACTCGGGGATTGGAATCTCCTATGCCTTGTACTGGTACGGATACCTGCTGTTACGGCATATTTCAGTGACTCACACGATCACTAGGTACTGCCACCACCGACTGCGGACGATGGTCCGCTCCATTCTAGTCACTGAGACGTTTAAAGCCGCTACAAGAATCCGGCTGGGATCAGGCGATGATAGCGCTGCGCTGACACTCATGAGCACCGACATGGAGCGCATCAGAATGGGTCTCCGCTTCGTGCACGAGACGTGGGCGAGCGTGATCCAGGCGGGCCTCGCCGCCTGGATGCTCTATCGGCAACTCGGGGTCGTGTTCGTTGCCCCCGTGGGTGTGGTGGTAGTTTGCTTCGTTGGCTTAGGGATCCTGATCAACTTCACCGGTGACTCGCAACGATCCTGGATGTCCGGGGTCCAGAAACGGGTCGGGCTCACAGCCACCGTCATCGCCAGCATGAAGTCGCTCAAGATATCCGGTCTCACTGGTCCCGTGGCCGAGTACGTCCAGCAGTTGCGTGTCGACGAACTCGCTGCTGGCGCCCGATACCGCAGGATTATGATCACCGCCGCCGTCTTCGCATTCATGCCTCAGTTGATCAGCCCTCCGCTGACCTTCGCTTTCGCCCAGACCACACTGAATGCTTCGACCATGTTTACCAGTCTTTCGTTCCTGACTCTGTTGACTCAGCCGCTGTCGCAGCTTTTCCAGTCGATCCCAGAGCTCGTTTCGGGCCTGGCCTGCTTGGGTCGGATTCAGGCATTTTTGGAATTGGAGCCTCATCAGGACTATCGGCAGCCCCTGGTCGAAGCCCAGAGTTGCGGCATGGAGAAGAGTTCAAAGCAGTTTAACCTAAAACCTACGAATTGCATCGTCATCCGAGACGCAAACTTCGGATGGAAAGCAGACAAATTCGTCCTGAACAATATCAACACTCAAATCCCCGCCTCGTCCCTGACGATGGTCATCGGTCCCGTCGGCTCAGGCAAATCAACATTCTGCAAGGCCCTTCTAGGCGAAATTCCTTTCAGCCACGGCAGCGTCGTGATGAGCGCTTCCCCCCGTCACGTCGGTTTCTGCGAACAAACTGCCTTTCTCTGGAACGGTACGATCAGAGAGAACATCGTGGGATTCACCCCCTTTGACCGCGAGCGGTATGACCAAGTCATTGAAGCCACTTCCCTGCGCTTCGACCTCGCCACCCTATCCCAGGGAGACCAGACGAATATCGGGTCGGATGGTGTAGCGTTGTCGGGCGGGCAGAAGCAGCGTCTGTCTCTTGCCCGAGCACTATATCTACCTTCAGACTTTTTGATCCTGGACGATGTGTTCAGCGGGTTGGACGCTGATACCGAGGAGCAAGTCTTTCGGCAGGTCTTTGGACCGGATGGTCTCCTGCGACAACGGGGGTCGACGGTGGTTCTGTGCACACATAGTGTCAGGCATCTCCCGACTGCGGACTACATCATCACGCTCGAAAACGGTAGCGTTGCAGAGCAGGGCACCTTTGTCCATTTGTCGACCCGTGCGGGTTATGTTCAGCGTCTGGAGCTGGGACTAAAGCAGGAGGGCGAGGATACTACTGCTGACGATGAGCCTGGTCCTTGTCCCGAACACAAGGGCCAGACTGGGGATGGCAAGAAACTCGAACCTGCGATCATTGTTAACAGCACGCAATCATCCACCCCAATTGCCCCAACGGTGGCCGCAGCCCGGCAGGTCGGTGACGCCACCGTCTATAAGCTGTATATCAGAAGCATGGGATGGTTTGTGGCGGCTTGTAGTCTGTTCTTTGCGGCCCTCTGGGGTCTGTTCACCAATTACCCAACCATCTGTGCGTCTCCGCTGCCTTTATCTTCAATCGATTTCATCAATTAACTTGATAAATGCAGGGCTCACATACTGGAGTGACGCCACCGAGTCCGTCCATCCTGCGCACTCCAAATCCTACTACGCGGGGATCTATGCCCTCCTGCAGATCTGCGCCATCATCGCCCTCCTCCTCCTGGGGATAACGCTCTTCATCGTCTCTGTGAAGAAAGCCGGCGCCAATCTCCACCAGCAGGCCTTACGCACCCTGGTTCGTGCACCACTCTCCTTCTTCACGAATACAGACACCGGGGTGGTCACGAACCTCTTCTCCCAGGATCTCAACCTCATCGACACTGAACTCCCGGAGGCTACCCTCAACACCCTCTTTTGCGTATTTCAGTCGATCGGCCAGGCAGTTGTGATGCTCACCTCCTCCGTCTACCTGGCCATCAGCTACCCGATCCTGGGGGCCTTGCTCTACTTTGTGCAGAAATACTACCTCCGCACGTCGCGGCAGCTGCGATTGCTCGACCTGGAGGCCAAGAGTCCGCTCTACACGCATTTCCTCGACACGCTCAAGGGGATCGCCACGCTGCGCGCCTTCGGGTTCATCCCGGATGATATACACAAGAACGCCCGTCTCGTGGACTCCAGCCAGCGCGCGGCGTATCTCCTCCTCATGATCCAGGAGTGGCTGAACCTGGTCCTCAACCTCGTCGTGATGGTCATCGCGGCGGTCTTGACGACGCTGGCCGTCCGGCTGCATTCGAACTCGGCCTTCGCCGGTGCATCACTGTACTCGCTGATGACCTTCGGCGAGAGCCTCTCCGGGATCGTGATTTACTACACCAGACTGGAGACCTCCATCGGCGCGATCGCGAGACTGAAAACCTTCAATGAGACCGTCACGCCGGAGGACCGCGACGGTCCTGGAGAGGAGGACATCGTCCCAGACACGAACTGGCCGGATCGCGGGCTGGTCGAGTTGCGCGGTGTATCCGCGCGGTACAAATCCACCACCGTGTCTGAATCTGACTCTGAATCCGACTCTAACTCCGTCGCCTCTGGCGCCACCAAGCCGCCCCTAGCCCTCAAGAACATCACTCTAACCATCCACCCGGGGGAAAAGGTCGCCATCTGCGGCCGCACCGGCAGCGGTAAATCCAGCTTCCTCGCTCTCCTGCTGAAGCTCCTCGATCCGCTGCCTTCAACCGACAACAGTCATGACCAGGACCCTCCGGTCTTGATCGACAACATCCCGCTGCACCGCATCCACCGCGCGACCCTCCGCCAACGCCTCATCGCCGTCCCCCAGGACCCCGTCTTCCTGCCTGACGGCTCGTCCTTCCGCGCGAACCTTGATCCGACCGACACCGCGACCCCGGCGGAGTGCCAGCGGGTCCTCGAAGCGGTTCGGTTGTGGGGGTTTGTTCAGGAACGGGCGGAGGGGCTGCATGCGCCCGTCACGGCAGGGACCTTGAGTGCCGGGCAGAGGCAGCTGTTCTCGCTGGGGCGGGCGGTGCTCCGTGCTATGCTTCGCGTTCGTTCAAGGTCTTCCTCGCCCGAGGAGGGGTCCGACAATCAAGTTCAAGGGGGGATCCTCCTCCTCGACGAAGCCAGCTCCAGTGTGGACCGGGAAACCGAGCGGATGATGCAGGAGATCATTCGGGCGGAGTTCAGACACTACACGATCATCGCGGTGAGTCATCGGCTGGAGATGATCATGGACTTCGATCGGGTGGTGGTGATGGATCGCGGGGAGGTGGTGGAGGTTGGGAATCCAGTGGCCTTGAAAGGGGGGGCTGGGAGTCGGTTTGGGGAGTTGGTGGCCGCTGCTGGTGCGTAAAAACTTTTCACAACATCCGTTCAGTACTAGCTCTACCCTACCATACTTTATCTCAATTGAATCGTATTTATAATCACACTCTAGACGGCAAAATGAATACAACAACTAAGAGACAAGATCATCTCCACTCGTAGCGTCCAAAACCACCCTACAACCCCCCGCAAACCGCGCATACATCTCCAGCAATTGCCGTTGACTGACCCTCGAATGCATCAACGGATACCCAATCCACGGAACCTCCCCAGCCGAAGAAAACAGTGTTCCTGGTGCGACTGACAGCTCCGCCCGTGACACATGCGGCACGATCTTGGGTATCGCCTCGTACACCTGTTCAAAGAAGTCCCCCGGCACCCTCACCCAGTCGCGATGCACCGGGATCATGCAGTGTGCATTCCAGTACTGCGCGCCCCCGCCGTCGCCGGGATGATGGCCCCCCGGGAAGAGAGACGGGCTCGACAGCGCGCGGAAGCGGTCGCGGTCATTCACCGCGCGCAGGAGCTGGAGGGCGCCGAGGTCCACCCCGTACGTATACAGAGTGGACCAGGTGCCTCCGGTGCCGGGGGGACGGACGTTGACCTCGATGAGGAAGGGGTCGGACTGGGGGGCCGGGTAGCTCGCGGTGCTGCGTGCGGATTGGCTTATGCCGTCGCCAGCAGCTGCCGTCGTGGAGATCCAGCGCAGTGACTGGTTCGGGTTGCGGCCGACTACAGCTGCAGGCGACGGTCAGGGTGGGACGTCGCTGGCGGCGTTGGTGGGTCCGGTGGATCCCGTGGAGGTCCCAGTTGGGGCCTGGCGGGGGACGCGGGGGGTCTCGATCCCCGCAAGAATCGTCCGGCCACGCACGGTCCCTCGCACGTAGTGGTTAAGAATTTCGTAGAGCACTTACCCACTCCTCAGCCAGGGAAAAAATATTTAAGGCGGTTAACGCTTTCCAGGTTACACAAAATTGGTCCAAGAACGCCCTATCTGCATCGGACCCGTTGGGCACGATGAGAATCCTTTGTATGTACAAGGTCAGTGGTCATTCTGGCCTTGGTACATTCTTGACCTCATAATGTAGCGCCGAAGACAATGGTATGGTCGTCTTACCCATAGTCTTGGATCCCGCATGACCGGTAGCCCGACACATAGGGACCAATAGCTCCAGCCTTGATTTACTCTTCATATCCCCAAGATTCCTGCAAACAGGTATACAAGAGCAACAGGCATCATGGTTTTCAGGTAGGGCCCTTCTCAATTCCATCCTATCCATGATATCTTCTAAGTCGTTAGGATCATTCAGGATTTTCAAGCCACATTGGAGCAAGCAGCTCGACCCAAGAGCCTTCATCATTCCGCAGCATCTCCGCTTCCAGAAAATATTCGTCGTTGTAGCCACATTGATAAGCGCACTTGCCTTAGCGGTTTCGACCTTTAATGAGTTCCATCCCACAACATCTAGACTTGCGCAGGTCTCCGAGGGCTTCCTACGCAGCCCCGCTAGCACAACAGTTTATAGCAGCAGGTGTTGCCACCATGTTACTTCTCCCACTTGAAGGCGCACAAAAAGGAACACAAAGGGACCTGGCTGTCGCTTGATCACCTTGGGTCTTTCTTGCTTTATCGATTGTTGAATTCTTAATTGGATTGGTCTGTTGGTATGCAAGTACAAATACTCAATGGCGCGGAGCATTAATGGAAACACAATTGGCAACTCTCCTCGCCACCGTATTCTGCTATATTTGTGGATGTGGTTTTCCTTGGATCAGAGAGGCGGGCTAGGCATGGAAGAGGCACAGATTGTCTTAACGCACAAGCGCGTTGCGGACGAACGATGACTTCCCTGTTGAAGCTATTGAATTTTACGCAATAGATGGACGAAGGATTGAACAGCAGTCGTCAAATTATTTGGCATTAATAACGTATTTCATGATGGGCCATCTCGTAATTATTACAAGGCAGTTGAAATCGAAGCATCTAGGGGTTACTATAAAGTCTATTATGAATGCTTCGTGCTCCTCTTGTTGCAAACCTAATAAGGTCATCAACTACCCTAGGCGTGGCATATTCCTTAAATGAATTACTCAAAGGCGACAGTGCGGGTTTAGTCATTGTACTGTTAGTAGAGCCAATCCTTTCAGGTATTTATGGAACACAGGCATCGCTCTTCCACTACACCTTTTCGCAAGGCTTGCATGGAGCGCCGTAGTCCACCCACCGCTGCACCTATTACTTATGGAAAATTTACGAGCAAAACTTGTGACGTAGGAACGCATCAGTAGCCCATCATTTGAACACAATAAGTTACATAAGCAACCTGTGAGCCAATAAAAATGAGCCTTTTACAAGGAGGAAAAGCATATTAATTCGTATGGCCTTATTAATAATAATATATGCTACGTCCGTCTAGCTCTCTTCAGCCTTGATGACATATTGATTCCGTAGATTCTCGCCTCTTTTGTGAATTCTGGGTTTCGTTAAGACCCCAGACGTTGGTTATAACCATTTAGAAGATCCGGGGCACACTATCTAAGCTGGTTTAATTTCTACAAACAACGTCTTGTTCGATGTCTTCCTAAAACGGGCTGCAACCGTGATTGTGGCGCCACTTCTACATTTCATTGGACGGTGATAGACGGATGGTGTTGAATAAACCTCGACCAAAGCTTGCTTAAGCGGAATAGACTGCTGAAAGTAAAGTATGTTATTTTGTTATGGGGGGACTAATATGATTCTTTAAGCTACGCCTTGGGCCCAGTAGACTGGGGTTTGTGTAACGCCAACTCAATTCATCTCATGGTGTTCTAATTAAAAATGTGCTTTAGCATTTGATAACTAGAACTGTATGTGGTATTCCTACTAATAGTCTAGTATCCTGTTTATTACTGTGATGTAATCGACTTTGAAATAATTTGATCCTAGTTGCTAGTGTTACTAAGTCTTCCCCGTCTCTGTGAGTGATTAAGCTGCAAACGGCACTCCCTGTGACATATATACTGCCCCGAGATGGCTCAGTTGGCACAGTGGATGACACCATTGACTCTCCTCCCTGTCCTTTGTTAGTCATTGCCACATTGAACAAAGACAGAACAATGTGGTGTGCTAAGATACTGCTGATTTGTGGGCTCATGACCGGCTCTGGCTTCTCACAGTCCACCCAGGGAATCTACAACTTATTACAGCGTCGGATGCCTCAGCATGCAGACAGTTTCCAGATTTCACTGGTCAATGCCACAGGCGTTGCATCTGATGATGGCGGCCAGCCTTTTGATCATTATGTTGTGTCCACCTTGTCTAACGGCACGGTGCTAGTGGAGGGGAATTCACTCAGTGCTTTATCCTCTGGGTATGGATTTTGTTTCCCATTAAAACCTCAATTCTGTTTACAAAAGCTGATCTACTCCAGTCTGCATCGGTATCTCGCCGATATGGCACAAGTCGATTTGTGGTGGTTCGTCGGCAATCGCCTTGATGTGGCTCCCGAACAATTGCCCCCGCTTCAGCAACCGATAGAGGGATCCAGTGTCGTCAAATGGCGATACCACTTCAATACAGGTACATAGCCACTGTGACCACTTCAGATTGAGAGGGGAAGCATCTTATCAATTATAACGTGCATATAGTCACCTTCGGTTACTTGGCTGCCTTCTGGTCCTGGGAAGACTGGGAGTATCAGCTCGACTGGATGGCCCTCCGGGGTATCAATCTGCCACTGGCCTGGGTGGGCTTCGAGAAAGTCCTCGTAGAGGTGTTCCAAGAGATTGGATTGACTGATGCGGAAATCTCCGCCTTCTTGAGCGGTCCGGCATTTCAGCCATGGAACCGCTTAGGCAATATCCAAGGCTCCTGGTGTGGCGAGTTGCCTGAGTCGTGGATAGAATCTCAATTTGAACTACAACAGCAGATTGTTGCACGCATGCTGGAGCTGGGTATGACACCTGTTCTGCCTGGATTTGCGGGCTTTGTGCCGTCCGCAATCACCCGCGTCCTTCCTAATGCCAGCGTGGTCCAAGGATCGCAGTGGGAAGGGTTTCCCTCAACATACACCAGGGATACATTCCTCGAGCCACAAGATGAGAACTTCGCGGATCTGCAGTACAGGCTCATCTCGAAGCAACAGGATTACTATGGCAATGTGACGCATATCTACGCACTGGACCAGTATAATGAGAACGACCCAAACAACTCCACCACCGCCTATCTGCGGGAGGTCTCCAACATGACCATGCAGAGTCTCAAGGCTGCCGATCCATGTGCGATTTGGCTGATGCAAGGTTGGCTCTTCTTGGATAATACTTTCTGGAACCCGTCCAATACCAAAGCGTACCTCTCCGGCGTTGAAAACGAGGATATGATTATCCTGGACCTTTTTGCAGAGTCGCAGCCCGTGTGGAAAGATACTGACTCGTTTTACGGAAAGCCGTGGATCTGGTGTCAGGTGCATGATTATGGCGGAAACATGGGACTCTATGGGCAAATCATGAATATCACCGTGAATGCCACGGAGGCGCTGGCCGAGTCAAGTTCCCTCATGGGCTTTGGACACACCATGGAATCTCAAGAAGGGAATGAGATTGTGTATGATTTGCTGCTGGACCAAGCCTGGTCTGAGACTCCCATCGACACTGCTCAGTATTTTCGTGACTGGGTCACTGTCCGATACTCTGGTAGTCAGCAACCTCTCCCAAGGCAGCTGTACAAGGCGTGGGAGATCTTGCGAGCGTCCGTCTACAATAATACCAACCTGACATCCAACTCTGTTCCCAAATCCATCCTGGAGCTGGAACCGAACATTTCAGGTCTGACGGACCGGACCGGCCATCATCCAACTACGATCAACTACAATCCGGAGGTTATCGTGCAAGCCTTGCAGTTGATGCGAAAGGGTGGAGCATCTGACACCTCGTTGTGGGATAATCCTGCCTTTCAATACGACACAGTCTTTCTCTCCCGCCAAATCTTGGCCAACGCGTTCATTCCCCAATATAATGACCTCGTCTCCATATACAGCGTGGAGAACTATTCCAAAACAGCAATCAATACTACCGGACAGGTTCTCATTGATCTGCTCTGGGGGCTAGAATCGGTCCTCGCCACAAATGAAAACTTCAATCTGTCCGCGTGGATTGGTCGGGCCGTATCGTGGGCACAAGGCAATGCGAGTCTTGCTAGATTCTATGAATACAACGCCCGGAATCAGATTACTCTTTGGGGTCCCATGGGCGAAGTCAGTGATTATGCATCCAAGCAGTGGAGTGGACTGGTTTCCTCGTACTATGTGCCTCGCTGGCAGATTTTTGTGGGATATCTGTATAACGTCACCCCCCAGAATTTCGACCCCAGCGAATTGCATCAGAGTCTTCAAAATTTCGAACTGCAGTGGCAGCAGCAAAGTGGATGTCTGAAAGACGGGAGCCCTGAGACGGATCTTCAGAAAGTGTTGGAGAGTCTGCAGAAGCAGTGGCCAGACATATTTCGCAGTACGGCCATCACTACGAATCGTCTAGGACCAATTTCCTCATTCCTTAGATATCCCGAGACATCGATCCATCAAATACTGCTTTCCTCCGAGTCATTTGCTCTTTGAGTTTATACTAATTACCAGCTTCATGTACTTTTTTTTTGCTCTACTTCTTCTTTGTGTTGGATACATACCATTTTGATGATAAAAGTCTTTACTCAGCAGTCTGGAACTCAATAACAATCGCGGAACCTTTCCATTGTCGTTCAAAAGCCATGAGGACTTTTTACTTTCTGTAAAGTTAGTAGAAGCCAGGGGACTGGGTACCTTGCTTATAAACATAGATATTCATCCATAGAAAGTTTGATGTACGCAAAATGCCTTAGGCCGGTCCCAATATCTAGTCTACTAACAGCCTGATTGCCCTTAGATGTGAGATAAGGGTCCAGCCAAGGCATCACATCCAGTCATGTTTCCGATCCAATTGGAGGATCTTTTCTCATCGCATGTGGCTAACATCACCTTGCTTGGTACAAATGGTCCATTATAGAGTAATCAACATGGGCCACGTTGTAGTAGAAGAAGACCGTACGGCTGACCATACTGCCAATCAAGTAACAACCAGGGATAGTCTATATGAACCATAGCCAGTCCTTAGGGATGATTATCCAAGCCCGAGACCAGCCGTCCCTTGCTACATGCATATAATCAGTCCAGTTTCAGGCAACTGAAGAACAACCGGTGCCCTTGTAAATCCCGGTAGTATCTTGCGATCTCTTATTTGGACCCGCATGCACAACGCTCCCGAACAATCCAGATGTCTATGGCACCATCGTCCTGATCCTAGAGTTTTTGGCCTAAAGTAAAGAGTACAATGAATATATGACAGGAGAATTTTGATTCGAAAAAACTTGATTAAAGATCCCAAGATTATCAATAAGTACGCCAATTCGCTTTTATTCAAAAAGACCCATCAATCCCGCCTACCCCCGTCTTCATCAGCTCAATCCTACTCCCAGCGTCCGTAACTCCCTATCCTGCATACTATCATCAACCAAAACCCTCGTAACATCCACAACATCACACGCAAGGCAGTCCGCCATTTCCTTACTCAAAACCGCACTCGAGGCAACAACCTGCACCTCGACAGCAGGCCCAGACGGAGAACGACGCGGGGTCGAGCAGATCCAGACTTCAGATGCGGGACGCAGCGACCCGGACGAGGTGAATGATTTGTATGTCGCGCCGGCGAGGTTCATGTGTAGGTCCATGTCGATGTTTTGGTGTTGGAGGATGATGTTGAGGGTTTCTAGTGCTAGTCTGGTTGTTTGCGGGGTTCGTATTGTTGTTATTGTTGATGATGTTGTTGTTTTTGAAGTTGGTTGATCCAAATGTGTCGCGCAACGTTCAATAATCGTCGAAAAGTCGACGCCCTCGTGTTCGATGCTACTATTATGCTGGCTTCGGATATGCCATAGATACTCCCGAGCCCTCATTGTCGGAGCAATAACCGCGCGAAACGGAATGCAGTTGACGCAGGGCCCGACGACTTCGTCAATCTGCGGTACGGGCAGGCTGCGCCCGTTGACGATTTGGCCTACCAGGATATCTTCCTGGCCCGTTCGGCGGGCGATGGCGAGGCACGCGGCGGCTTTGATTACCATTGCTAGAGTCGCCCCCGCGGGGAGGGTAGAGTATTGGAGTGTGTGGGAGGCGGAAGCTGTAGAAAGGGAAGGTTGAGGAGAGGTTGTGGACGATGGCGTTGATGGCGATGGCGAGAGCGAGTGAGCAGGCAAGATGGCAGGGGGCGGACAGTTGACGAGGTACTCGCGCCAGAAGTCTAGCGAGCGCTTGTTCTGAGCGCCATACGCGGTCCGCTCATTGAGATAGCGCTCGAAGTCCGTCGGGGCGATCCGGGCGTCCGGTCGATTGTAGAGGGCTTCGAGATCGGCGAAGATCTTGGGCACGCAGATCCCGTCGTACTGTGCGTGGGAGAGACGGGCGACGAGAATATGTGCTGTACGTAAGCTGTTGGAGACCAGGGTAAACCGGGTCGGGGGCTGCTGTGTGCTGGCGCTCAGAACGTCCATGGTCTGCTCGGCCTCAGAGAGGGACTGAGTATAGCGCTCTAAGTCGTCGTCGTCGGCGGTAGTAACCGTGTGGAAGGGGTTATCCAGTCCCTGCATCACAATCTGTGCCGGTTTCGCGCCTCCGGACGGATCACGTTCGAACCTGGTCCGCAGGATGCTATGGGCCGCAATGAGCCGCGTGCATGCCGTGCGAAGTCGCTCCGTATTCACATCCCCCTCGATGCTAAACCGCCAGTGCATCCAGGGATACCTCTGGATCAGGAAGGCCTGAGTGTCTGTGGTCGAAGGGTGGTGGCCCGTTCCTGTTCCCCTCTGGACAGCCATGACTCCCTTTGCGGGAGCAGAGGACGGGGGCGTGTCCTGAGATGGTGAGGCCTGTTGCAGTGCCAAACGAGCCAAGGTCCAATTATTGAGCACGTCAGCAACAGTGAACCGAAAGCCCTGCCGTCGCGCGATAGCGAGCATCCGCATGGCCGTTACCGAATCACCTCCGTGCGAGATAAACGTATCCTCCGCCCCGATCGCCTCACAGGGCACGCCCAGGAGCTCCGCCCAGATCGCCCGCAGACGATGCGCGGCGGCGCTGGACACCGTGGTGGTTATCGAGCGACGTTGGTCGGTCACCCGGTAGAGTTGAAGATTATGTGGCGCGAGTGCCCTCAAGGCATCGCGCAGGAGCCGCCGGTCGATCTTGCCTGTCACCGTCATGGGGACCCGGCAGACCGGTATGTACAGAGATGGCACCATGTATGGCGGGAGTGTGGATTTGAGATGCGCTTGCACGCGCGGGATGGCGTGCTGAAATTCCGCATCTGTTGGGGGGAGAAGAAGGGGGTCCTTCGTGACCTGTGGGCGCTCGATGAATGCCACAAGCAGGGTGGAAGCGGCCCCCTTGGCCATCGGCAGTGAGACGGTTTCGGCGACGACCTGGGCCTGCTCTACATCCAAACCACCACCCTGGGCACCACTGGCGCCAGGGAAACCACGTCGGACCTGCGCCTCCACTTCGCCGAGGTCAACGCGCTGCCCCCGAATCTTGACCTGCGTGTCTCGCCGGCCGAGATACCGAATTGAACCGTCTTCCAGATACTGCACGAGATCGCCCGTGCGGTATAATCGCGTCTTTGTATTTCCTTCCCCGGCATCACAGGCGAACGGCAGCCGGAGGCGCCAGGGGGGAGGATCGATAAAAGACGCGGCGGTGACATCGGGCTGATTCAGATAGCCATGGGCAAGGAAGGGCCCTTCAAGAAGCAGCTCGCCGATGGCTCCGATGCCCACGAGCTGGGATGGGTCGGATGGCTTCGTTACCCAGCCCACTCCGCCTACGACGCGGCCGATCGTACCGGGTCGCCAGTGCCGGGGTTGAATTGGGCCCACGGCACAGATTGTTGCCTCTGCGGGGCCGTAGCCGTTGATCAGGGATCGACTGGGACTAAAAGAAGAAGACGACGAAGACAAAGAAAAAGCCCAGCCATCCACGTGTTCCTGCGTCACTGCTTCACCACCGAGTACGAGAGTAGTGAGGCTAGGCACCTCGGCCGGATTGAGTGTCTGCGCCACAGAGGGCGTCATAAACGACCAGTTCGTGCCGTACTTTTCAATAGACTCAGCCAGCTGGTTCATCCGCTCGAACTCCGAGGGCACACAGATACACCCGCCCACGGCCAGCGTGGTGAAAATCTCATATATGCTGACGTCGAACGCGTACGAGGAGAGATGCAGTGCGCGCGTGGCCGCGTCCACCTTCATCCCGGCGCTATGGTCACGGATACTCGTACTCAGCGCGTAGTGCGGCATTGCGATTCCCTTGGGGCGTCCGGTGCTGCCGGAGGTGAAGATGACGAAGGCCAGGTCGTCGGGGTTTGAATGTAGGTTGGACGGTGGCGACCGGTGCATCTTGTGCGAATTTCGCTTTAGCCGCTTGGTGAGTTCAGCTGATACACAGAGCGCGCTGGGAGTCAGATCCTTCGTCAATGGTGCTGTGGAGGCGTCGTGGATGAGAAGGCGTGCGGAGACACTGCGTATGATCTCCTGTAGACGCTGTCGCGGATGCTTGGGGTCCAGGAGCACGCACGTTCCACCAGCCCGGAGGACGCCCAGGATGGCGACGATTGTCCACCGGCTCTTCTCCATGCAGATGGGCACAAAGGATCCGCGGCCTACGGCGAGCGGCTTGAGGCGCCTCGCGAGGCTAGCACTCAACGCCACCAGCTGCTTGTATGTGAAGTCGCCGTCCCAGGCGGAAACAGCTAGACGTTGTGGTTTGAGCGCTTCTTGAGCCAGCACGAGCTCCTGCAGACAGCGCCGATCCGCTGTCGGGATAATGGCGTTCCACCGCTTCAGGTCGTCCCAGTCGCGTGTGCTTAACAGGTCGATCTCGTTGAGTTTCACTGTCGGCTGCCGGCTGACCTGGTGCAGGACGTGCTCCCATTGTTGCAGGATCCGGGTAACCTCACCACCGCTGAGGATCTGGGGATCGTACGCAACGTGGACGGTGACCGTGCTTCCATCGCCGCTGAGCTGCAGCAAGAGATTGAGAGCGTAGTTGGAGAACCGCGTCAGATCCATTCCTCGGCCTGGGGTGCCATGTATGAGGGGGAAGAGTCTCTCTGCCTGCTCCGCTGCTGCTGGTGCGACTTGAATGTTCAGATGACTTTGGAAGCGACACGCCCTGGCAGCGTCGGGGCTGGCTTTTGCAATCCGCTGCAGGCCCGCCTGCTCATGCGGGATCATGCCGATCGTGCGCGAGTGGATCTGCTGGAGCACCGCGGGGACAGTGTCCTTGGAGCCAACGGACACTCTCATGGGAACCGTCGCAATGGTTGGACCTGCTATCCCGGCAATGTTAGCCAGCGGCGCACTCCGGCCGCTCACGGTGAGCCCATACATGACTTCCGCCGAGTCCGTGTACTCTGCCACCACGAGGGCCCAGGCCAAGTGGATATACGTCGCCAGCGTATGGCTTCGGGCAGCCATGTGGATGTTCTGCACGGTGTACTGCAACACGGCGGTGGGTGACGGTCGATACTGCGCGGATGGCAAGCTCGGGAATATGGCTGACTCGTGGCCAGCCAGCTGCTCGCGCCAAAAGGCGTCCAGTGCATCATTGTCGATCCCCTGTAGGTACTGGATGAAGGGGTGGAACGGCCGACTGGAAGGCTCTGGACGCAGCTCGCCCTTGAAGGCACGCTGAAGCCGTTCGTGCACGAGCTGCATTGTCCACGCATCCCAGACTGCGTGGTGGATTGTGAGAATCAATTTGCCGCCAACCAGCGAACAGCGCATTAGGGGTCCTCCCGGTCGAATGGGCAGACTGTTGTATTCTTCTCTCTCATAATCCCACAGCATGTCCCCGGCTTCCCGGATAACAACCTGCAAGAGTCCCTCTGGCGTCTGGATGATGCGCGTGCGCAGAATCGGCGTAGCACGCACCGTCTCTTCCCACGCTGCGCGAAATCGGGACTTGCATACGGATTGAGGCACTTCAAAGACAATCCGGTCGCTATACATCCCGGGCTGGCTCATAGACATGGCAAACATTCCCTCCTGCAGCGGTGTGCACGGGTACACGTCTTCGATGCCGGCCCGGGGAACACCGCATTGCTCTTCGGCGATGCGTAGCACCTCTACGCGGCACCGGGTGCCCAGTGCTGCGAAACACACGTACTCTGGGGGGGATGTCGACATGTCCGGGACTGTTGCTGCTGCTGCTACTGTTGCCGCCTGCGCCTGCGCCTCCAACCGCGTCGGCCCCAGGACGTCGCGGATACCAAGGGCGAGACCGGCCTTCCGCGCAGCCCCCACCAGGCGCACCGCCAGGATTGAGTCCCCGCCCAGTTGGACAAACGAGTCGTCCATCCCAATCTTGGTAAGCGGCAGGCCGAGGACGTCTGCGTACACCTGCTGCAGGGCGAACTCCATTGCGGTGGCGGGCGCCCGGCTCTGAGTTCGGGCGCTGGCGAATGCTTGTAGGTCTGCTCTGGAAAGACGGGCGGCGGTTGCGCGCAGGATGGACCGGTTGACTTTTCCTGATGAGGTCCTGGGGAGCGAGACGACGCGGATGAAAAGGCTGGGGATCATGTGTTTTGGGAGACGGTCTTGGAGTTGGGTCTGGACGGCAGCGAACTGCGTAATTGACGCCGAGTCTGCGGGCAGGAATAATAAGGAGCCACTGTCGGCGTCAACAGGGGATAATAAGGAAGGATTGCTGCTCATCGTCTTCTGTTTATCAAGTTGTATAAATGCCACCAGACTATCCCGCTTGTCGCACTCGGTGGTGACCTTCTCGACAACCACCTCCGTAGCCCTGGGGAACGTCTCTTGAAGATGCTGTTCAATCTCCGCCAATTCCACCCTCTGCCCTCTAATCTTCACCTGGCCCTCCCTACGGCCCAGCAGCGTGAGAGCCCCCGTGCTACCATCCCGAACCGCAAGATCCCCCGTCCGATACAGCCGGTGCTGATATTGCCCAGCACGACGTCTCTTTAACCAACCCGGCGGGTCTATAAACGCCTTCGCCGTCGCTGTGCGGTTATTCAAGTATTCCCGACCAACAATCGGCCCTTCAAGTAGCACCTCGCCCTCCACCCCAGGACCCACTGGTTCTTTCTCGGGATCATCCGGGTCAATCAGCCAGATTACCGTCCCCGTGGGCCGACTGACGCGGTTTGGGTCGGATCCAGGTTTGATCCCCGGTCCCGTCGTGGCATTCACAGAACACTCCGCCGTCCCGTAGGCATTTACCAGCCAGATCCCCCGCTCAGCGTACACAGCCGCCTCAGCTGGCTGCATGGCCTCGCCGCCGAGGATTAACGTGCGGATGTACTTAACCTCGTGCCAAGGCATTGTCCTCGCAAATGAGGGCGTCAGCATCGCGTGGGTTACCTGGAAGTGATTCAGAGCGTCGACGAAGAGCCCCGGGTCCGTTCGGGCCGTCTCGTCGGGCACGCATAGGCAGCCGCCTGCCATTAATGTGCTCAGTGTCTCCATGATACTCACGTCGAAGGCGTAGGAGGAGAACTGGAGCACGCGTGATGTGTGGTCAATTTCGAAGACTGGTAAGTGTTCCCGGGCTCCGGAGGCGTAGGCCCGGTGCTCGATTACCACGCCTTTGGGTTTTCCTGTTGAGCCTGAGGTGAATGCTACGTATAACGCATTCGTTGGAGATACTGGTTTTGTCGTTTGCGGAGAGTTCATCTCCGGAGTAGTAGTAGTTGTAGCCGTAGTTGTTGTTGTTGTTGATCTTGTTGTAGAAGGGAACCACGCCTCACACAACCGGTCAACCACAATCGCATTAGCAATAGCCATACAGCGCTCCCTCTGCGCTGTGCAAGTAAGAACCATACCAGCACCCAAGTCCTCGCAGAGGGTGTGTAATCTCGAAACTGGATGCGACGGGTCAAGCAGAGCAAACGCACCCCCGGCCTTCATAACGCCCAGAATCGCAACCGTCGTCCACCGCGACTTGTCCATGCAAATGGGAACAAACGTCTCGGGCTTCACGCCGAGAAGCACGAGGATCGAGGCGAGTCGCGTCGACAACGTATCCAGCTCGCCGTACGTGAATGATCCGTCCCATGCGGCGATAGCTGGGGCTTCTGGTGCCTGCTGGCACTTCTGTGTGATAACATCGTGCACGCAGGTATCCCAGGATTTGGGGACTTTGCTGTCAAAATCGTCTGGCAAACCGCCATCGGCCTTTGTTTCTCGAAAGAATAGCTCCCCGCTCCCGCTGTCCGACGGGGTAGATGGCGTTAGGGCGGCGGGCGACTGTGCTGAAAAAGGCGTGAAGACTGGCGTGGAATCGGAGGAGGCAGATGCAGGCGAGCTTTCTGAGGTCAAGGAGCCGATTATGCGTGGTGGGAGTTTGATTGTGAAGGCACCGGCAGCTGGCCGATGCCGTTGAGATTGAGGTTGGGAGCCGCTTGCTGGATCCATGATTCTGAGGAGGTAGTGCTCCTGGCTCCAGGGTACTAGGGCTATTTCTGTTTACAATAAATAGGTAGGTAGCAAGGGTACTCCCGAGGGTCCCGTCTCGCGCAAACTTAAACGGGGCCCATTTATACTACCACCTAGGTACTACGGTGAGGGTCCTGTAACTGTTAAACAGTTCGGACTTCGGACTTCGGACCAGGCACATCATCACCCTTACGTGGTCTTGTCCTCGCACCGTGCACGAAAATCAAATGGAATGAATCCCGTGCGGAATCGTTACCCGCTGACGCGATGATTTGCGAGACACATTAAGCAGCTGAAAGCGCTGGACACAGGGTAAGGCAAACTCGCCGCAGGCCCGCTGACGTACAGAGACCGAGATCGAGACCCCTTGCGCGCCTCGGAAATACCCATTGGGTAAATGGGAAAGCCTACCGCTCACCGACTCGGGAGCCCCAGCCCTGGCTGGTCTCCGGCAACTGTCTACGCCATTGAACGCTATTCCATGTGGTATAAGGTTACCGTCTAAGAATTGGCTTCTGGCTAGACTATCTATAGCCTATTCGAAACGTGTTCCAGACCAGGAACCACATTGCCTCCGTGCAAGCAACTCCTTCTCGGCGACGTGGGGGATCTTACCCTAGCAGACTGGCGCTAGCTACGCAGAAGCTGCGCCTACTCACGCGGAAAAGATAGCCACCCAATGCATACTTGAGCCTTGTACTACATACCTGGAGGCTGGCAGTATCCACTGTCCATCTTGCTGATCGCCATCGTCTTAGGGCCGCGTCTCGGTTGGTGTTCCACGCATGCAAGGAACTGCGGCAGGTGCACGCCTCATGCAGACCAGAGATGGTAAAATGTAAGGGTTTGATGAGATGAATCGCGGTGAGGTTCTCCGCCAGACCTCGCCTCAATCATCTCCCTTGAGTATTTCTGTGTAGATTGCTGTCTTAGTTGCTTTGAGTGGCGCTGACCGACTCAAGGGGGGACCCTGGGGGGTGGGGGGGGACGACTTGGGACCCGACACATTCTTCGCCAGGCCAAGACTCGACAGTGTCGACAGTTGGTAGTGGACTCTGTATGTTTTACTAATACAATCAAAGTGTGGATCCGAGTTAATTGCACACTCACCCATGTCGGGCTTACCAGGGGTCGGGTTTGATGCATGGTAGATATTGCTCTCTTCGATGCTCGTACAGACATATTATATACAACTTCCTCCCTCTTCGGGTAGACATCCACCATCACAACCACTGGTACCTAGCAGGCACAGCCATATACCGCGCGCAAAATGCGCTTCATACGCCTACTACCGGCGGCGGTGTTCTTACTAGGCCAGTCCCTTAGCCAGAAGACCCAGGATCCTACCCCACTCTCTACGGCCAACGCCCATCCGCACTGCCGATGTCGACCGAGTGATTCCTGCTGGCCGTCCTTGGACGACTGGCAGACGCTGAATAGCTCCTTGCACGGGCGACTGGTTGCCGTCCGACCGATTGGGCATGTTTGCCATGAGCCTACATATGATGAGGCTGCCTGCCGGCATGTCGAGGCCATGTCGTCTAGTGGGGAGTGGAGGGCTGGCGAGCCGGGTACGTACCCTGACCACCTTCTCCCTCCCTCTCTCTTCCTGTCAATAATAGGGCATTAGTAAACTGACATCAAGAAATCGAATTCACCAGGTGCGCTACAAGACTACAGCTGGGAATCCTCCATCCCGCGGAACGAAACCTGCTACATCGGACCCGGAAGCAACCGGCCAGAACCTTGCCACCAGGGCCGGATGCCACTCTACTCAGCGCGCGTGCAATCAACAGCAGACGTCCAAGCCGCCGTGCGCTTCGCGGCAGAGAGAGACCTGCGTCTGGTCATCAAGAATACTGGCCACGACTCCGTTGGGCGCTCGAGTGCACTGGACTCGTTCCAGATCCTCACCCAGGGGTTGAAGGATGTTCAATTCACCGACGACTTTCGGCCATACCTGGCGGGGGATTATAGTGATGAGGATAGCGCGGGGGCGAATGTGGAGGTGAAGTCGGAAGGGCCGGCTGTTACCTTTGCGGCGGGGGTGATGGGGAAGGAACTGTATGCTGCTGCCGCCGCGCGTGGGTACACCGTTGCGGCTGGGGAGTGCGGGACCGTCGGTACTGCTGGGGGTTTTATTCAGGGGGCAGGTGTCTCGACTGTCCTGGCGCCGCTGAGGGGGCTTTCCGCTGATCTGGTGCTGCAGTTTGAGGTCGTGACCGCGGACGTATGTCACTCACCGCACACCTCCCTCCTAGTTCCTTTGAACCAAGACCAAGGGCTGATTGAATGCCAAGCAGGGAACCGCAGTAATCGCCAACCAGTACCAAAACGCCGACCTCTTCTGGGCGCTCCGCGGCGGCGGGGGCGGGACCTTCGGCGTCGTGACGAGCGTGACAATGCGCGTCTTCGAAGACACACCCGCAGTCATCTCGGACCTCTACTTTGAAACCCCCACCGTCGACGCAACATTCTGGTCCGCATGCCGCGAGATCATCGATAAGGCCCGCGAGCTGGCCACCGGCGGCAACTCGGCGCAGTACTACTTCGGGCGGCTGCCCAGCGGAGCCGGGTACGTGAATATGAGCATGTTCTCGCACTTTGTCGAAGACAAGGGACCTGTTGAGGAGTCCTTTGCGTCGCTGTTGGCTTTGCTCAGGTTGAGGGGGATTAGCGACGTTGCGTTCAATGCGACGGTGTATCACAGGTTATCCTCGTACCTGGCTATCCCGCAGGGCCTGTACTTTGGCGGAGGCGGGTATCATCAGGAGAGTGTCCTGCTCCCGAATGAGATGTATAATTCTCCGGATGCCGCCGCGCAGATCATCGAGCGGCTCTCTCCCATCGAACTCTTCCCCGGTGATCTCTGGGTCGTGAATACCCTTGGCGGCCAGGTGAACCGCAACAGGGACATCGACAGTGCGCTTCATTCCGGCTGGCGCGACGCAGCCGCGCTCCTGGTCGGTATGCGGCCCTTTGGTCAGTCGTTGCGCGAGCAGCAGCATGTCCAGGAGCGTCTGACGAAAGTGGAGTGGCCTGTGTTGCAATCCTTCGAGCCGCGTCCTGTGGCGATGTATCTGAACGAAGCGAATCCGCTGGTGGAGAACTCGCGGGAGTGGTTTTGGGGGGCCAAGTATGAGCGGCTGCGAGACGTCAAGCGGAAGTGGGATCCGCGGGGGTTGTTTGTTGTGTCGCTTGGGGTGGGGAGTGAGGAGTGGGATCAGGATGGGATGTGCAGATTGATCTAATGATTTCTGTGACTGGTATATTATTTTCTGTAACAGATTTCTCATTTGAATCGATAGAAACTAATCTAGTGATAATTGACATGCATTAAAGTGCTACTGTCTCTGTTTCTACTTGGATTCCTTCAAAAGTTTGAGATATAGACACTGAGATACGGCTTCCCTTTTTTATAAGAGAACGAGATGGCTTGCTGGATGTGCCTAGTCTCGGATAGATCCTGGTTCGGGCTATACAGACCACTGTCAGCACCAGAGCAACAAGGACTGGTCCAAATAAAACACTTACTAGTAAGAGACAATGTTCTGCTTATACGTCTTCGCAATCTGGTCCCAGCCCATCCGCTCAAAGAAGCGCGTAAGCGCAGCGGCAATATGCACGTCCGGCAAGCCAAATGGCACCAGATAGAGCTGTGGCACGGGATGGAGACTCCCGGGAAGCAGGGTATAATTCACGATAAACGGCAGCAGCGACTTCGGCGGCTCCCCGAGTGTCAAATGGTCGACCTTCATATCCCGAATCCCGGATGGAATCTGCAGCAGATCCCACATTTCACGGAGCGCCCGGAGCCCCTCTGCTTGCCCACCCACGTCGTTCGGGAGGCGCCCGCCCAACGTCCAGAGGTCAATAAGCCGCTCGAATGTGACTTCCCGGTCGACCCCGTATACCTTCAACCGGGCCTGTTCCGGGGGCACGATGTCGCAGCCCAGGTATGCCGTAAAGAACGTCGATTCGGGCTCTGCAGCACGGGCCTGGAGGTAACTCTCCAGCTCGGCCAAGGGGGCGGACCGCTGACCCCCGCGGTCGACTGCACGGATAGCGTCGCAGATTAACTTGTCGGCTCGGATCCCCGTGGCTAGCGACTTCATCGCTGTGAAGAAGTACCCCTTCAACATGGGTTGGTCGCCCTGCATATCAACGCCGAACTGACACTGCCCTCTTGCGGGACCCCCCGGTGTAAACCCGGGCTGCGAAGTAAGAGTCTTCGCGTCGTCTTTCGATAGGAGTAGCAGGTCCACAAGTTCATGGAATAACGTCGCGTCGACACTCTCATCGAAGCTCAGCAGCGCCTTGAGCGCAGGCCAGATCTGCTCGACGTTGAAGGGGTCATCCATCGTGCCAGCTCGAGGCCCGATCGGCTCGTAGGAGTATCGGACGATCGGATCCGGGAAGTTCAGGCTGAACTCGAAGGGGAGGCCGTAGGGGCCGAGGTTACTCTTGTATGCCTGGTTGCTGGGTTTGTTGCCACTGTTGACGGGGAATTGGCCGAGGTGTGGGAGGACGCAGCGGTAGAAGAAGGTGAGCTGTTTGTGCTGCGCGTCCGAGGTGTAATTCGCGTCGGTCATGCTTTTGATAAATACTGGGGCAATGTGGTGCCACCATAGTTGTTGGTCCTCCGTTGGGAAGTCGAAGGACGGCGTGAGCGTTTCGTAGGGGGTGTCGATTGCCATTGTGCGGAGTCTTCTAGATGATGCTTTCTTGGGGTTTAGAACGTATTCGAGTAAGTATTTGTGATAACTTTGAGGTATCTAAATAATACTGCTCCTCTTGCAATCTTTGTGTGACTTCGGTAAACACCGGTCTAGCCTCCAGGCGAGGCATGCGGAAATCACCCCGGCGCCCACTGCCCCTCCTCCTCATCCCACGCCTTCGCAATCTGCACAACCTCCAAATAAACGCCACCAAGCCCCTCAAGGGCCCTCGACACAGCACCCCAAACCGTGGTCGCAGCCCCCTGCTGTGGACTCTTAAATTGCGGTCCCAGCGCCGGATCCTCAAAGGGCCCCTTCTTCTCCTTTTCACTCATATGCTGCAACAGCCCCGTCTGTATACCGCCAGACTGCCCGCTAAACACTCGAATCCACTGTCCGCTATACCGCCCGTCGATTTCATTATCAGCAAGGGATAACCAATCTGCGATCGACGGTAGCGCAGAATGTTACGCTAAGAGACTAAGAAAGCCCAGCCTATGAAGCATTTATATGGGACGCTCCCAAGCTCCAAGAGATTATTTCAAGGAAACCTGTGTCTTGCTTCTATCAACTCAACAGAGAGCCCTCTATTAGGATCCAAATGAAAGTACTTGTTTACACTTCCATTATCTAGGACAACGACAAGGGGTTCAGCATCGTCTGAGGCCGCCGGCCGGATCACGCCCCTACCAGTATCAAGCAAGACCGATGGCGGTAACAGCGCTCCATGCACAAAGAATGCAGCTCAGTCAAAGAATCAAGATGTCATTGGATTGTCCAACCCCATCCCACCACTGCGCGACGTCAATAGAAATGGAGCTAGTGTATGTATTGCACCTTAGCTTAAAGATCGAAGGAATATGGATGTCTAACCCCAGGGGAATCCTTAAAGGTGTACAGAGCTGGCTCCTTGCGCGCCATCCAAGTCCAGATTGAGCATGCCACAGGTTTGAATGATCTCAAATACTATCTAAAGTGGTTGGGCGCTGAAGAAGCTGCGGAAGTTCTAGAGAAACATTCTCCACTCCATGTGATTGGCATAAACTTCCTTGAAGGCACGGTCACCCTATACGAGCAGAACTCTCTCCTTCTAGCATGTCAACATGGAGATCCTTGAATGCGTTATAAGAAGTTGACCAGCGACTTTAATAACTACAGTCATATCGTACTCTCACCTTGTGATGGCATCTCGACATCATTGATCGCTGCTCTTTATGCTTTACTGTTCTTTGGTGGGATCAAGTTCTCTGTTCAAATGAACAAACTCGGCTTGGCAGGTGAATGCTCAGCGTTCTGGATCATACGTACGCGATTAAGATCGACGGCGCCGCCTGACAACGAAAAGATGTACCAAGAGAGCTAGGTGAAAGCACTAAGTCTGAGGTGTAGTGAATCAACTCTGTGCTTTGTCTCAGGGACAAAAACTGTGAAGCCAAAATCCTTTTTCTGGCGCCACAGGTCTCTCGGAGAAGTAGCTTACCAGCTGCGACACCGTGGGTCCACATCGCACAGGCGGCCCTATTAGAGATTTTACAGCGCGCCCCTTGCTGTTTGTCATACAAAGGGGGTGTAGAATTGGCGTTCAAATGTGACCTTTTCAAAGGTAATAGAGAATACATACTTATTTTGTTTGCCGCTCCAAGGGCTTTTTTTTGTCCCTAGCATATCTGTATTTGTCGAAAGGATTCCGCAAGCTTTTTAGTAAATTGCTGAGTTTGTAAAGCGAAGGTGACCGGTAAGAGCCTCTCTAACGTCATCACTAATCTTACGCAGATTTATGCGGCAGCCCTACTTGAAGGGTTTCATTAAAGTGGCCAAAGACCAAGCACAGCAACAATGCCAACGTCAAACATTTGTTCTACAACTGCGCCAATGCTTCTAACTCCACAGTTGCTATCCCTGATCCCATCGCTTTCGTCTCCAAACGTTGCTCGACAGGACTCTCGATTTAGTTACGTAGTAGAATGCAGCCCACCACCCGCACAATCCCCTCGAATTTCACTTTTCCGCGCTTTATATGTCTCCCATTATCTGTCTGATATATAGGAAGTCGACATTGTGACTGATTGAAACTGTTTTCAGATGAGCATAACAATAACAATCAACCTTCTTCTGAAATACAGCAATGCAAACTACCTTCTTTTACAGCAAGAAATCTAGGCTTTACGGGATAAAAATGGGCGAAAACGTCAGAAAAAGGCAAGGAAGCTCTCCACTAGGTAATGACTGTCTTCTTTGTGTACAGGAAGGTCAAAATCGCGTTCAGCAGCTTAATATGCAGCTTTATAAGCAGCCTGAAGAATCTACTCCTATGCCTCGTCAACGAGCTCCGCAACGCTGCAGCGGCTGTAGAACAGTAGGACACACAATTCCAAATTGCTTCAGTAAATAGCTTTCATTTTATATCTTTATTTAGTCATTTCGAATGGCGTTGGTGGTTGAATATTGTGGTGGGCGCGGTGAAAACTCGTCGGTCTGCCCGTTGATTACATTATAATATCAATCAATCAACCTCGCAGCTCACTCAGGCACCTTCCCATCCCGCCTCTTTAGCCTGACAACCATCCTCTCGATTCCCATCGAGAAATTATCCTTTGCGTTATCGAGCGCATCCACCTGCGCGGCACTTCCATTTCCGAGTTTTCCAATTCCATTTCCATCTCCGGTACCACTTTCACTCTCCGGGAAGGAAATGTCAAACGTCATGACCAGGCGGGCTATGGTTGTGCGGATATTCATTAGGGCTAGTGGTTTGCCGATGCAGCTGTATGCGCCTGTTTGGGGTCCGTGTTAGATGTTCATGTAGCTGGTATATATAGGGATAGGGATAGATAGGGTGGGATGGGATGGAATAGGTAGGGTACTAGGATAGGGTAAGTGGAGTGGAGTTTGGGTTTTGACCCTAGGAGAGAGAAACATAGACATACCGCTTGAAAAGGGCGCGTATGCTTCGCGAGCCTTGATGTACTCGGGCTGTTTATACCAGCGTTCGGGGAGGAAGGAGAGGGGCTCTAAGTATGCTTCTGCTGCTGGATTATCGAAAAAGAAAGAAAATTAGATATCTCGTTAGTGTTTTAAACCCTAAGCAAGGACGTTGATACGGGCAACGAGAGGGGTGTGCATACAACGTCCAATAACCCACTGAGGGCAGAAAACAGTCACTCCACCGGGAATATGCGTCTCCGTCCCGTTGGCGTTAATGGTGAGTCCCTCCGGCGGGGTATCCCGCGGGATAACACTCGGGATCGGCGGGTGCAGTCGTAGCGTCTCGTTGATGAACCCGTTGAGATGCGGCAGATTGGCGATCTGGTTGTGCAAGTACTCCCCGGAGGATGGATTGTCTGGTGTAAGAGGCTCGAGCTCTGCGCGGATCTTGCTGACTTCCTCGGGGTGGCGAGCGAGTTCGTAGACGATGCTTGTGAGGGATGTAGCGGTGGTGTCGCTGTCAGCTTTTCGTCAGTTCGCTGTTCCTGACTGATTGAATGGTGGAAGGACGCACGAACCTTCCAGCTGTAATGACGAGCATTGCGTCGCCCATCAGCAAGCTGAATTGGTCGGTCGTCGGGCTCTTGCCCTTGAGAAAGGCCAGGAATGATGCGCAGATGTCGGGGATTTCCACCTTGGTCTGTATTTATATGGCTTCAGTAAAGCTGTACAATCCGTCTCTCCGCCAGGTCTCCCACCAGGAAGGTGGACACATACATTCATCCTCTCCACAAGCGTCTGTGTCGCAAACCCCACAAACCTATGGAAATCCTTGGAGAGGGACGGGACCGTAACCAAACACCGAAACGCCCACGAGGGGAGGTAATACCCAAAGGGGACAATCCCAGAGAGAAGCACATCAATCGCCCAGTGATTGCTCTGCGTATCGAGCATTCCAAAGCTACGCGCGAATGCCAGATCGCCCATAACGTCGTAGCTGTAGAAATTGAACCAGGTGCTTATGTCGATGTTACCGTGCGGCTGCTCGGCATTCAGCCGATCAAATAGCTTCTGGCGATATACGCGGATCCGAGACTCATACCCTCTAAGCCTCGCATCACTAAACCCCGTACTCCACACGCGCCGGCGCTGGTCGTGCTCCGTGCGGCTCCGATACGAGTGCAGGGATCGCATCGGGTGGCCGTTATCATAAAACGAGCTCTTCGTGCAAGCCGAGCGGCCCCCGTAGATCTGGCTGACTGCTTGGGGATGGATGATGGAGACATTTGACGGGCCGACCCTGACGATAGGCCCGTATCTTTCGTGGAGTTCGTGGAGGACCTTGTAGGCTGGGCGGCGGTGCAATCTAAATGAAAACCATAGCCCCGAGATTCGGGCACCGTATGGGCCGGGGATGTGCTGGAGCGGATGGAAGTGCGCGCGGTAGAGGATGAGCGAGGTGTAGAGGCCTGCTAGATAAGCAATCACCAGCCCTGCTGCAGCCTTGATGGAGTCGTAGGGCGATACGGCTTGACTGGTGCTTAGGGCTAACGCAGTGCCGCTTATTATAACAGTGTACCAGAGCAGATACCGCAGTGGGTAGAGATGGTGTTCGCCTCGTTTGAAGTAGAGTTGGTGAGAGAGGACGCCTACGGCCCCTGCCAGCAGGTGCGGAAGATTCATGGCGGAGATGGCTTGAAGAATTGTCAGAGATCTTGATGTTGTCTTTGTTAGTAGATGTCGCTGGGAAAGTAGGTCGACTTGAGCTCCAAGTCTGGCACCAACTCTGCACACCCTACTCGTCGCGAGTTGCCAAGCTGCAATACCAGCACACCAACTCCTTACTTGGACCATCTCCGTCTCTGGACAGTATGTACCAGACTCACAGGCAGCTGTGTGGTAACACAAGCATAATCCTTACGCCATAAATACTCATCGATTTCACTCATTCCCTTGCTTGACAAGGCTCCATTTCATCCCAGCCTCACCTGACAGCAGTGAAGTCGGTAAGGGTTGATACACGTTGAGCAGAATGCAAGGGGCCGGAGGAGAGCACTTCTTAGTCCTTACATAGTTTGTACTACTCGACCACGAAAATCAGGCAGCAAACGCATAGACAGGGCACGTTGATCGAGACAAGTGAATTGCCGGTGAACTGGACGTATGTCACCATAGCCCAAGAGCATTGACACCCACTCCGGAGGTGACTACTTCCTCCCAAAGTGCTTCTAATAGACAGAGATGGCTGGCAGCAGAGTAGAAAAGACAATTCTGATAGGCCTCAACCCCGGACGTAAACGGCTGTGAGAGTCCATACTAGGCTACTTCACCGGGTGAGAGCAATGCAACCCTGAGTACTCTTACCCCATCTCTACACGGCTATTGAGACTACACATCGCTTCTGCTTCATGACGATAGGAATAATGACTTTCTACCCTTAGAGGTCTAGCTAACATTATATTCCGTAAAAACCCTGGGGGAGTGGTAGTAATTGCTTCGACAATCGATGTTCGCAGTGGTAACCGATCATTTCCCGACAATAATACGTCCTAACGCTTCTATGCAATCTTTTCGCACCTACTGCCCCTCCTTCTCAGCCCACGGGTAGTCAGACGACGAGTGGTAGTAAACACTGAGGTACGCCCCGGTCGCCTCAGTATACGCGAACGAAAGCCACGAGGTCAAACAGGCGGTCTTGTTTAGGTCTCGCGCAGGACTGTAACCAACGCGTTAGTATCGTCAAAGAGAAGTAAAAAATAACGAAAAGGAAATGCCCAATAGACTAGACTCACTAATACTCTCGCACCGTCCGCTCATAGCTCCTCCCCTGCTTCACAAGCCCGATCTCCTCGAGGAACTGTCCCACCCCGCGCACGATCGTCAGGTCATTCTCGCCATGGATCGGGAAATACACCTTGGTTAGCGGCTCCAGATTCCCCGGCCTCATTTCATAATTCCAAATGATGGGCGTGGGCGTCGAGTCGGTATCATTGTCAAACCCACCCGTAAACGCGCGGTACCCGTCCTTGATCTGCGTGAGCTCCCACAAGCGCCGGAGATGCTTGAGTCCCTGCGTATTGGCCTTGCCGACTACACGCCCACCCAGCGTCCAAATCTCCTCCATCTTCTCCCACGTGACGATGTTCGTCGAGCTGTACAGCTTAAGCCGCGCCTTAGCAGGCGCAACGCAGTCCCACGAGAAGAACGAAAAGTCGCTCCACCCGTTTGTCTCGGTCATGTACTCGTCAATGGTATCGAAGCTGGTCCGGGTCGGGTCGCCGCCCATCCGCCCAATGAGCGGATCAATCGACTCGCGGAAGATAGTGCCAAACCCCTTCCCTGTGACCTTGCACTTCAGCGCCGGGAACGTATATCCCTTAACGGCGATCTCCCCGTCCTTCAGATCGAACCCGAAGGCCACCTGCGAGGGACTGAGGTCACTACCGTCAAGCTGCTTCCCGCCTAGCGACTCGCGCTCCGCGCGATTCACCGTGTGCGTCGCGACGAAGTGCTCGAAGAGCGTGGTGTCGTAACCCTGAAGATTCAGTTCGCCCAGCTGCGTCAGCAGCGCGCCCTTGGCGACCTGGTTGTAGGGGTCGCGCGGTGAGCCCGAGGCCATGCTGACGGGCTCAAAGCCGATCCTCCACACGGGATCACCGTTGCTATGCTGCGTGTAGTTTGCGCTGAACTCGATGGGGAGGCCGCTTCGGGTTACGGCGCTGCGGAACCGTTGCGGGTAGGGTCCCATTAGTGGGATGAGGGTTTCTGTGTGGAAGGCCATGTAGGACTCCTTGTGGGGGGCTGGGTAGTTTGCTGAGGCGAGCATCTTTGCGAAGAGTGGTGCGGTCTTTTCGACCCAGGTCGCGCGGTAGGCGGTGTTGTCTGCCGTGGCTTCGGGTTCGTCTATCGCGTTCACGGAAACCGCGGCGATATTGCCCTTGTGGGAGGATTGGACATCGGGCACAGGTTGTTGGGGTTCGTTGGAGGCCATTGTTGGAAAGAGGAGTTTGGTTGTTGCTTGAGAGAAGATGAAGCAAGAATCGTACTGCTCGCTGGTCAAAAATCAGATACTTGCAAGCGGTGCTGACGGGCCGTAGAGGAGTACTCGTAGCGGACTATATTCGCAAGATTCCCACAACCAAAATGCGGTCTGCAAGAGGAGATCTCGACTACTACAGGAGGAGTGGAGACAGGTGAACCCCTTACTGCTCTGCTAGATACCCCCCGAGGTGGAGCGGGGCGCAAGAACAGCTGCGCATGCCTGTTACGCAGTAGAGAAGAATGCAAGGTTCCGCAGCCAATGTCTTGGTTATTTCGGCATTTCATAACCGCTGGGAGGCTGGCATTGGTATATTCTTGCAGACGGGCGAGTGTGTGCTGGCATATACCGCCATTTGCGGGCTTATAGGGGAATATACACAAACCGAATCTTGGGATTGGAGATGCGTCGTTAATTTCAAAGAGTCTGGAGACAGTAAAAGCAATAATCACAACATTGTCGATTATTCTACTGTAGACGCCGATGTTATTAAGCCTGACTCGTGTACTTTCGAACGAATGCCATCATGGGACCTTTCTATCCTTGTCTCTTAGATTACATACAGTTCCAAATGGGAAAAAAAAAAAACAGACTCGGAGGTGATCATTGGTTCCAATCTACCCTAAACTATCGACTGGTGTGCTTATTTCCCAAACTCCAATACCCCCACCTCAGCCAATAGCTTCTGCTCATCCTTCTCGGCCGTCATCCACGCCTCCTCGACCAGCTTCTCCGTCCGCGCATCTCTAATGGTCAATGCAGCCTTGAAGTCCGGAACCTGATTAAAGAAGGCAATCTCATTGCGCGGGTCCATCATGGCCTTCAGATCCAGCTCCACCTTCTTCCCATCCTCATACGCGTAGCCGACATCGTACGCCCAGAACAACCGCGCCATATTGATGAACATGTAGTCCTTGCCCACGTGCTGCCCGGGACATCCTCGATGGCCGTATCCGTATCTCACATGGGGGAGGTCTGGGTTCTCCAGCCACCGCTGCGGGCGGAAGGCCTCGGGGTCCTCGAAGATAGCCGGGTCCCGGTCTAGCGCCCACTGGTTGATGATGATCGTTGCGTCCTTGGGGATGCGGTAGCCCATGTAGTGGATTTCTTCACTTGCTGCGCGTGGTGTCGCCAGCGGAGACCACGGTCGCCACCGGAGCGCCTCGCGGTAGAACGCGCTGACGAGGGGGAGCTTGTCTGCGTCTTCCCAGTTGGGCAGGCGATTCCGTCCCACGACCTCGTCAATCTGCCGCTGCATCTTGGCCGCCTCGTCGGGGTGGAAGATCGCGCAGAGCAAGACGACGCGAGCCAGTTCATAGGGCGTCAGAGCGGCCTCGTAGACGGACCCGATGCAGTACGCGAGCTCGAGCTCGCCCATCCCATTGGCATGTTTCGCGGTCTCGTAGTGCTTCGCCCAGTTCCAGGACGGGAGCTTCAGCGCCTCCCGGAACCGCTTGAGATACAGCTCCGTGTACCACGCCGAGATCCGGTCCGCCTCTTTCTTCCACGCCCCGTTCCCAGGCAAATACTTGAAGATGGGGATAAATTCAGCGAGCATCTCCGTGCCCCGGAAGCAAGCCTCCGAGACGGCCCCGATGTGCGCGACGGTGTCCTCCATCTCGAGCACCTCCGGTGTCTCGACGGGGAGCCGCTTGCCGTAGGCGATCGTGAGAAACAGGCTAATCGCGCTGCGGCGCAGACACTGCGAGAAGTCGGCGGTGCTGCTCCGGAGCTCGTGAAGTAGCTGCAGGCTCTCAAGGCTTTGCAAGGGTCGGTATTTCTTCGCCATGGCGGGTGAGAGCACGGCGCGGCGGAGCCCGCGGTGTGTACGCCATGTGTCGTTGTCGGGCAGGAAGGAGGTCGTGAGGCCGAGGCCGATGCGTTGGAGGACGCGCAGCTGCGGTCGCGAGCTGAAGACGTAGTTGTTCTTCTCGAGGAGGTCGAAAACGATGTCGTACGAGGTGATGACGATGGTGATGGTGTTGCCGTTCTTGAGCGTCATGATGGGCCCGTATTTCTTGCTCCATTCTGCGTACTTTTCCCAGGGGTTGCGCTTGGGGGCTTGCAAGAGGTTTCCCACGAGAGGCGCGCCTGGCGGACCGGGGGGTAGTGGGAGTTGTTTTGGACGGCTGTTGAAGAGGAATCGAGAGACGAAGAGCGCGGCCCCGCTGATCAAGCAGACGAGTGAGACCAGTGGCATTGATGCCGCCTGGAGAGACATCAAATTGTCCATCTTGGGCGTTGGGACGACCGTTAATGAAAAATCGGGTATATCACGAAGGCACGAGAGGGTCAGCAAGCGCTATCCCGAAAATAATACAGAGCTTTATACTCAGAGGCTTCCTTCCTTCCTCCGTCGGCTGTTGCCCAGCCCGATTATCGACCCCAAATGGCGCGGTACAATTATGTGGGACCTTCCACTTCACCACCACGCCGAGAGAGGAGCATTGAACTATGAAATATCCTGTGTTACATGCTACACATCCTTGCGTAACGCGGTCGTGAGGAGCTACATGCAGGAGCTGCATTCTTGTCTTAACCAGAAGAGCGAGCACATCCACGCTGCAGCCAGTTTACTGACCGCCGCACTCAGCTGCAAGGTGCAAAGTGCAGTATCGCTTGGCTGGCAATCCGATATAAATGAGCGGTCAATTAGGTTAATCAATGATCTTTCCATCGTTAAAGGTTCTCCTACGTCAATCTTCCTGCTATTGATAAAACCCCTCCCACATTTGCTCTTTCGCCTAAAAGACAGTTGACACCGCTCAAGCTCCGCTATAACTCCAGCATGGGCTCCATTACCCCCCACACCGACGAGGTCATCGAAACTATCGACCTCTCCTCCTACCTGACCAGTGACGACCCGAGCGTGCGAAAGGCGACAGCCGACCGTCTCGTCGAGGCCCTCCACAAGCAAGGCGGCTGCGGCCTGGTCGGACATGGCCTGAAAGTCGAAGCCATCCGCGAGGCTCTCGCTCGGTCCAAGCAGTTCTTCAACCTGCCGCTTGCGCAGAAGCGAACGGTCGACCATCCCGAGGGGATCGTGCCGCACCGGGGGTACTCGGGCGTATCCAGGGAGAAAATCCGCATCTACACGGAGGAAGAGCTGCAGACCATGTCTGGGGAGCTGGGGGCGACGGCGAAGAAGGCGATGGACTGGAAGGTAGGCGAGGTTCTTCGTACTTGGTCTCGAATACCAGGCTAATAATGGATTAATTGAAGGAGCACTACGACATCGGAAGCGACTACGAGCCCGTCCACCGCAACCGCTGGATCGACGGGGCCCTCCTCCCAGGCTTCCAGCCCTTCATGAAGGACTTCATCACGCAGCTCGAGCTGCTACACACCAACGTCCTGAACGCAATCCTGCTCGGCCTCGAAGTCGACCCCGTCTCCGCCGACTACTTCCGCGGCCTGCACACAGCCCACACAAGCGGAATCCGCCTCCTGCACTACCCATCCATGCGCGAGTCCGAGATCGACCGCACTTCCACAACCTGGTGCCCGGTGCACACGGACTTCACAACCTTCACCTTCCTCATCCAGGATCAGAACCAGGGGCTCGAGATCGAGGACCGCACGAGCAAGGTTCCCAACTCGTTTGTCGCGGCGGATCCCGGGATCGAAGACCGCCTGTGGCTGACCATGGGCGATTTCGGCGAGATCTGGAGTAACGGGTACCTGCCGGCTTCGAGACATAGGGTTATCATCCCGGCGCCTGTCGCAGGGTCGGGATCGGATATGACCTCGAACAGGTATTCGATTCCGTACTTTCTGAACCCAAGGCATGATGGCGTGTTGGAGCCGCAGGTGACGGGCAAGCCGGCGACGATGCCGCGAGATCGGTACAAAAAGGTCAAGGTGCGGGATCATATTGAGTTTAGGATGAAGTATCAGTATACGGATCCGACGAAGTGATAGACTAGTTTTCTAGCGGGCTTGGCACATGGAGAGATTACCGTGTGGATATTGGCGTGGGTAAAATAGGTGCAGCTATACAATGAAACGTTACAAAATCGAGCCCAAAAGCTCGCGCCTAGCATCCATGGTCCAGCAGTCGGGTGATCCGCTACAGAGTACGTAGCGTCTTGCAGGTTGCTATGTCATGATTGCACATTCCTTGCGGCAGTTGCCTCCCCCCTTGCATTGACTGGGCACATGAATTTCTCTTCCAGCAAAGCACAGCATAACAACTGCAACGGCCCACCACCCTTGCAGTGACGCAGTGCCAGCATTCCATACTACACCTCCCAGCATCTCCCATTATTCCTCTCGTTCACTTAAAGGAGATCCTACAATCCTAATTCTCTTCCCCTGTGTGACTAGGTACTGTGCGCTAGCGGCTCCTACATACTTTATTCCTATTCTGAACCTTTATTACAGATGAAGCCATCCATATCTGGTCTGTTGATATAGTAATGTTGTCAGTATCTATACTATTCTTAGTGTTTAGTTAATGGGTCAGAGGTTATATCTAGACAGAGACTGCAACCTTAGCTCTCTAGAACCTAGCCTGAATCAATCCATTTTAATGCAGGCCTATAGAATGCTTAGTAATAAGTAAGCCACACTTCCTTATATTCTTTGCTTAGATGTAGAGATTTATTCTGACAATGTTGAAGCTGTTTAAGAAATAGCGATAGAATGTATCTTATTAAGATATGTACTTGTCTTTAAATATAAATCATTCGCCATAGAATGAGACACAGCATAGTGAGAGGCTTAGTTCTCCACTATCAAGTAAATTATTCTGTTATGGAGAGCCCTGTGGTAGTCTATTTTAAAAACTATATTTAGACTGAGATATATTATTTCCTACTACATCTTATCAAAATTGACTAGAGATTCATCCACTAATCTCTGCTGTGTGTGACCTTGTATAACTATGCTGCGGGTAACCTCCGCATATTTAAGAAGGTAACTGTCTGTAGTATCTCCCTCACTTAAATATAATTTCCCTACTACTTTGGCTAAGGGAGATCTATAAGCATCCTTAAAAATGCCTCGTGAGTGAACCAGACACTGTTCCATATTCTAGTTCTATAGGGAAGATTGGGATTCCCTAAGCAGAAGATGCAGAATTTTTGGTCATTGCTGTGAAGACTCGATATAGTGGGCTTGAATGCCTGATCAGTGTGCTGTTGCTGTTTGGTAGTGGGACAGGAACTCCATCATTTGGTGAGAGGGATGGGGAGATTATATGGTTTGATCAGTGAGCTGCTCTTCACACTGCATTGATGCTGTGGATGTCTATTGTAGCCTGTAAATAAAAGAAGCATAATTAGTAAGTAGATTATCCTTTATTTTGTAGTTATACTTCCCTGATCCTACGCCCCTCTGGTGTTATATCTGTGGTCCATGACTTTCCAAACTGATTAGCGAAGGGTAGCTGCCCTTAAATATGCCTGAATGTGCTAGCCTCTCCTATCTAACTGTGACATCTACTGACTTTATGGAGGGTGGATGATTGAGATTGCTGTCTGTCATAGAGTGCATTCACTCCTCATTAACCATCAGACACGTACATGTGAGCGCTAACTATAGATGCTTTTCCAATTCATCTTCGCCCACCTTGTGGGAACACAGAGTTATGGGCAAATGGCCACCCATGTAGAATCCACAGTCGGTATCCTCGAGAGCCGTGTTGCAAAGCGACACACTTCCGAGTTCGGCGTCCTGGCTGGCGGTGGTATCCGTCTTGGCTGCTTGGCCTAAGTCAACGGTTTTTTCTTTCGCGCCCAATGTGTCCCGTGATGGGTGATCCGTATCTTGAATCTTTCGCTTAAATTCCTCTCAATCTCATCGTTTCAGGGCATCGGTGTACGGAGCTTTGCGAATCACGCGTCGCCAGGACAAAGAAGAGGGAAGTATGTTCGGCCGCGGACGGAATCTAGGGCCGCGGATCACTTTGCGAGCCGACGTCGCCAGCCATGAGCTGGCTAGTCCAGAATCATAGTAGAGGATAGGCTTAATTCCGCTAAAGCGAGTCGCAAAGCCGCTGGGATGAGGGGGAGAGAGTTTAAGGGAAGAAGGACGGACAGGCCCTCTTACGCCGCTGTCTCGGACCGCTTTGTGACGGAGAGCGACCACGACCAACCGAGTCCTTAGTATATGCGCCGATGAAGTGAGCGAGATGTTCGTTTGGATAGCACATTTGATCTAAGTTGCCCTGTGCCGACTTACCGAGTCCTGCGGGGGTCTATGGAGCATCCGTAGATACCCATCTTGCCCTCCAACTATACAAAGGCTACGATAAGAAAGCCTTTAAATAGGATCATCATGCACTCGGTCACCACCTCATCACCATCAGATCCAAACACTGTACTCAATCATGCCCTCCCCAACCTTCTCCGAGCAAATCATTTACCAGCCCGCAAAGGCACCGGAAGAGCCGGGAACAGCCTACGCGGGGTTCAAGCCCTCAAGCATCATGCTTCCAAAGGGGCATCAAAGGACTAGCGAATGCAGAGCCCTACCGATTGACCTGATCTGGGACAGAGATGTCATGCTTCCAATGCGAGATGGAGTTCGCATCGCTGCGGATATCTTCCGCCCAGCAAATGCTACAGCCCCGCTACCTGCGTTGATGGCATGGAGTCCTTATGGAAAGACTGGAGCAGGTAACTCTAGTCCCTCTGAAGACTTCGGTCCCTATCTAAATCTCTCAGGCGTAATTTCCCTGGACATCATTCCGCATCGAGCCGGGGTCCCCAAGTCCCAACTGTCCGGCTATGAGAAATGGGAGGCTCCAGATCCGGCCGAGTGGTGCAGGCGAGGGTATGCGGTGGTCAACGTGGACGCACGTGGGGTCTTTGACTCGGAAGGAGATATACGGTAAACCTATCCCTAATCTGGAGTGCATCGGGGTCTGACGGCCGTAGATGGCTAGGGACCGGAGAAGGACAGGACGGATTCGACGCCGTGGAAGCCGTCGCAGGTCTCCCCTGGTGCAGTGGGCGTGTCGCCCTGGTCGGAAACTCCTGGCTCGCGATGGCACAGTGGTTCATCGCTGCCGAGAGACCACCTCATCTGACTTGTATTGCGCCTCTTGAGGGTGCGACCGACTTCTATCGTGAAACGCTGTGCAGAGGGGGCGTTCCCTTCACCCCGTTCTGGGATATGCTGCGCTCCTGCCTCAGCGGGCGTAACCGGGTCGAAGACCCGGTCGCAATGGTGGCGCGGTATCCTACGTGGAACTCCTACTGGGCTGACAAACGGGCGCGACTGGAGCAGATTACTATTCCGGCATACATCCTGGCAAGCTACTCGACCATGATCCACACGGAGGGCTCCTTCCGCGGATTCACCGACCTGGCCTCTTCGCAGAAGTGGCTCACGGTGCACGCGACGCAAGAGTGGTACGATCTCTACTCCCAGGAACGTATCGAGGACCTCGCGCTCTTCCTCGGCCGCTATCTGAAGGACGAAGAAAACGGCTGGGAGAGCACCCCCCGCGTCCGCGCGGCGATCCTCCCTTTCAACAAGCCCGCCTTGACGAACGTGCCATATTCCGCTTGGCCGCCCACCGAGACCGTTTATCAGACTTTATATCTGCATGCAGGGGGGCTTCTGTCCGCTCATCCGGACCACCGCCCAGGGTCGTCGATAGTCTATCCCGCTGACATCGCTGGGACGCAATCGGGCAATGATCCGGGAGAACTCGAATTCGTGTATACCTTCACGGCACCTAGAGCACTTCTCGGACACTCGAAAGCAGTCTTGTACATGTCCGCTCCGGACCACAATGATCTGGATGTGTTCGTGCAACTCCGCAAAGCCGATATGCACGGCACTATTCTGGAGCATCTTAACATCCCTCTGGATGCGCTTCAGCTTGCCAGCATCGACAATGTCGAGCAGATAAACCCGCTCAAGTATCTCGGTCCTACGGGCATCTTGCGCGCCAGCCACCGGCAGCTGGACCCCAGTCTGTCCGAAGCATTCCGCCCGGTCTGCGCACATGACAAGGAAGACAAGATACCTCCGGGCCAGGTGGTGCGGTTGGAGATCGCCCTTTGGCCGGCTGGGATTGCCTTCGAACCTGGGGAGTCGTTGATTCTCCGCATCGGCGGCCATCCCCAGGTCCTGCCGGAATTCTCTACCCTGAGCGGCAAATGGACGACCTTGAATCGAGGATCCCATGTGGTGTATTGTGGAGGCGAATATCAAAGCCATCTCTGCCTTCCTTTCCTTGATAACCAGGCTTCATAATCAAAGGCTTCGAGAGGAAGGCCACCAAGTCCCATCACCAGCCTGTCTGCTTCAAGGGCCCGAAATAGCCCGATATCGTTGGCTAGGCATAGCAGAGTTGTATGTTGCATTTCAGCCTGAGAGTAAACATACCATCCCCCATGTCAAGAAATCAAAAGCATTGCTCTTGAGTGGGAATGACATCTACCATCCAGTAATAATCCCTCGTATAAAATCCGCTATATTGTGATATAGCTCAGGCTAGACACCACAGTATTCAACCATTCCCTATCTAGGTAGCCATATAACGGAAATACTAAGAATGAGGAAAAGGGGAGAGAAGTGAAAGTCTGGTAAACCAAGATACTCACGGAAACAATGGCTGATGACGACACGCCAAGGAAGAGTGCGCCTGCGGAAAGAAGAATACCTTTGATAGATGCCACTATCTCGTAAAATCGCTACGCCCTCACAATATCCAATCAAAATTTGATTGGTTGAGAACGCACCAACACTGAAAGGAGCCATGGAATCAGCGATTAAGCGAGCCAACCAACATGACGAATTATCCAAGCGACCAATATGTACGGCGATGAGTGTGTTACGCAGCAGTCCCGCAGTATTTGCAGGCATGGGAGAAAGCACGTATGAGCTGAAAGATAGCTAGATAGCTGATGCCGGGGCAGATACCCATATCTGGAACGAACGCACCCGATTTCGCGATTATGAGCCACTTGAGGATCAATATGCCCCTTTGGAACAACCGAAGTGCAATTCCTTGGGTATGGATCAGTCGATGTGTTTGCAACTGAAATGAACGGTGAAATCCATATCCTGGGCTGGGGAAAGTGACTTACATACCTCTTACATACCTTTTTGCCACAAACATACTCTCGACCTTTCAAATCAAGAGACATGGTTTTTACCTCAACGAAGGAAGAAATGTCTTGGTCGGTCGAACCGGAAAACTGATTTGCCGCGCGCAGAAGAAGTGTAATCAAGATCCCCTGTTCCCTGCGATACAGGAACCCATTCGTAAGAAGCTCGCTACCATGCGTCAATCCAGCGTAATGAAGAAAAGGAAGAAAGTATACATATAGAAAGATAAGATATCTATTACATAAGGCAGTGGTGTAAACTAATTAAACTACGTGAGGGGATAGGCAGTCTAGCAAGGCAGAGTGCGTTCATGGTGACAAGCTGTCACAATTGTATTAACCTAATCCCATGACTCCCAATATAGATCATACCCTACTAAGAATAATCCTACCTCTATAACATGATATAAGATTAACAAAAATAGTTTAGAAACCTTGAGCTCCCTAATATTATCAGAGGGAAAAAGGTTTGCTATATTACTAACTTTAGGTATTAATACTTGTCATGATTTTCCCCTGTAGCCACTGCAGTAGAATGAAGATCCTCAGATTAGACAAGCACTACAACTCTGGCTATGTTTGACAAGAGCCTTGAAGTGCTGAGTCTAGCTAGTCACGCCCGAACTAGTCGCTACCGGCCGTTAGGCGGAACTAATATTAAAAAGAGTACGGCATACCAACAAATAACCTAATATACGCCTATCTTCCTAAGCAATATCACTTACCAGAGGTTGAGTATCTCAATCAAAGTTCTAGGAATCAGCTTTAGCCAACAACTGGGCCCTTCAAACTATGCGCGCACTCATCATCAAGCTGAAGCATACTGGATGTGTCAGAGTTCAGGGGGTCAAGACAAGCTTATTTAAAATTTCCAACCATCCAGTCCGCCCAGTCTTCTGATAACATGTAGCTCAATGCCACAATGATCACTTCCATCTCAGAGCCGTGCAGCTCAGCCATAAGCTGAACCGGCCATGACATGCTCTGGAATACCTCTTCGTGAATCCCAAGATGCAGAAAAGCCGGGCTTTCCTTGCCAGGCTGTGCACTGTACTATGATCTCACTGGGCTCGATCGTCTCGTAGTCAAGAGTGCGAGTGTATTGAGTGTGGAAGTGGCGAAGAAGCTCGTGAGCAGTCCAGGCAGGCTGGATATGAACGCGAATGGGGGCAGTATTGATACAGTAACCAGTCCTTTGATCCACGTCAGGGATTGGCATATTCCGCCCGCTCACCGTATGACCAAAGACAAGGTCTGTCTGCTTGCCTAGTCGAGCCCACGCCAACGCCCATGGAGCCTTGACCAAGGTCGCCATAGTGATGCCACGCGGTGGGCTCGAAAGCGTGAAGTTGTCGAATCCAACCATAAACGCCCGGTGGCTATTATTGTCCCCCCGAAGCGTTGCCAGTGAGTCAATCCCACCCCCACATGAACGCCTCGTGCAGGTAATCTCTCCAAAAGTAGTACGCAGCGGGCGTACGGCGGGCCAGGCGATGCTGCAGGTAGGCAGTAAAATCTACGACTGGCTGCGGCAGTGCATGATCTTGATATTCCCGCACAAGGTCACCGAGTAAGCGGGGGAGCGTTGAACCGTCAAACTGAGCATGGGATAGGCGGAGGATCAAGATGTGTTTCGACGGCTTGGAAGATATAAGCATCGGCTGGAAATACGGCGAGCCATCTGGGACATCTGGAGAGCGGTTGTGATTTGCACACCAGGAACGGCACTCTTCATCGACGCTCTCCTGGTTAATGGTGGTCTGTATCAGCTCTACCTGCATTCGACGCAGCACCACTTGGAGGGTGGTATCAGCATGGCGGATGAAAAGCGACCGTAGCACGAGGACTTGGTCGCAGAGTATCTGAAGGGCGCGCTGGAGTTGATCCGCATCTATCGGACGGTCAATCCGCCAGATGTAGTAGTTCTTCAGACCGGCATTGAGATAGACACGCTGGAAGTCGGTGGTGGGCAGGACAGCCACAATATCGCTCGACTGCCACTTCTCAGTCACGCTGGCCAGCAAGTAGGAAAAGGCCCATTCCGGCCGCGGAAGCGATGGTATATGATCTTCAATCCGTCTCTCATGAATTACAGGGGCGAGAGCGGACAAGGTTGGGAACTCGAATACGGCGGGCACTGCGAGCCCAAGCATCCCTCTCGCATGGCCGCGGCTGACCGTCTTCCTTGCGTCAAGCGAATTGGCCCCGAGCCAGAAGAAGTCGTCATCCGCCCGGATGTCGTTGGCGGGTAAACGCAAAATATCCGACCACAGGACGCGAAGTTGTCATTCCTCCGGTGTGCTTACTTAGACTGGTCGTCGATCGGGTTTGGATGGATCCGCAAGGGATTCAATCCAACCCATGCGGAATATGGGTTGATCCATGACCTATCTAACCCACCCTTATATCCATGGTGGATTGGATTCTGGATACTAGTTATACCCGTACTAGCTAGTCAGGTGATCCCTAGTATGCTAATTACCTCCTATTTTTCTAGTATTCCAGCTACACCACTAGGATATCTATATATTTTATCAAATAATATAATAATTTACTATATAAATATGATATATTACCTATTGTATAAGGTAAAAAAGCCTTATATAAGGGTGTAGTGGTACTCCCTCTGGTTAAGATGAAAAGTAGTGCAGAGATATATATGTCTTACACCTCTACCCTAACCATCATTATCCAAAATATAAAATCCACCACAACTCTAATTGTTCTTAAAGAATTTCATATTTTATTTAATATATAGATAGATATAATCATTTTCTATCTATGTATATATAAAAATATACGCATATCTAGGCCTAGATTAGGCTATCTAATCTTATCAGTTCTTAGAGGCCCTAGAGCATGTGCACCCAATGGGTTATCCATATCTCATGTAGATTAGATCTCATCCATCCATATCCATGTAGGTTGGATCAGGGTCAACCCCCTTCCTACCCACAGTGCGGATTGGGCGGGTTGGATATGGATTTGTGGATTGGGTCAGCCAGTCTATTTGGGTACTTCTTAACAGAGACTGAAAGTTCCTGACAGTCGCAGGCCATCCTCACTAGGACTTGCGGATTTGCAGATTCTCAGTTCCTTTCCCTTTACACTAATTCACCTAGTACTTTGATCGGTTTAGCCAGATGAACACTCAAGGCATCCAGGTTCCCAGTCAAATACAGGTCCTGGTTCCTTAATTCCCATCCGAGCTTTCAGCCTGGTCGTATTTTCAATATCACGTCCAGTAGGGCTAAATTGGCTGGTAAATTCAAGAGTCAAGACTACTGGGCTAATGCTGATAGCTGCCAATATGTTCGACTAGGGAATTTGTGCAATGTTTTCTTAAATGAACTGCAATCATTCTCTTCACCGTAATGCGGATTATGCGGTAGTTGCTGCGCTATTAATAAGGCTTTCAAAAGCCACCATTGATTAGGCACATCCTTATCTACTTTGTATAGATATGCTTCCCAGACAGTGGATCAGGACCTCAGTGATCGGCAGGCTGAGCTATTCTTGGCAATAACACCGAAACAGGCCGGATGATTAACAGCTACTTGAATGGGACGGGCCAAGCCAAGAGCAGCCCTCTTCACTTAGGACAGAAATTTAATTTTGGGATGTCACTACTATCTTACAAAAAARTAATGGAAAARAAAAARAAAAAMAAAAAAAAAAAAAAAAAAAAAAAAAAAAAAAAAAAAAACCTTGGTGGTCTATACATTCAAAGTTCATACAGCATATGTCTAAGCTCTGAAGAACAGTGGACAGGATAAATTTCATAGTCTTTGATGGATACAGCCACTCAAAGCACAGCAACAGTCCACATGCAGATGAAATGATACTAGTGGAAAGGGCATAGGCTTGGTAATGAGAATGTTTGAGACACCGCTGGAATGATATAGGACTAAAATGTTGATCCTTCCGATAGGAATTTTTATTTTTTATTTTTTTATTTTATTTATAACCGGTGTGTTGTAAATGGTCCTGACGCAATTTAAACTAGTCTTGCGTCAGTAAACTGTTATTTAGCAATCGATTACTGCGAAGGGCTGATGAGTGTGATTGTCTAGGTCTAATGAAACGCCTATTTGATTGGATTTAGGTGCCTAAAAAGAAGCTTACCGTGGATCGGGTTGCCGGCGTTGTAAATGACTATGCTGATATAGTACACTGAGGTGTATCAACACCTATGTCTTTGGACCATGCGTTAGGTCTACCTGTACAATCACCCAGGCATGGCTTCACTCAATGGCGACAGAGGTGGGATGGGCACTACCGGTTCTGTTACTGCGCCAGGAACAAGACTATGCTGCTGCCTGATGTCGAGAGGTAAGTCTGTGGGGTCTATTACACTACAGAGTACTTATCAAATTCTGGCTACGTCAATCGTGATCCGATTAGACAGCATACACTTCGGACGCAGAAACAACCTAACTTCCCGACTTGGCACACATCCTTGGCACGGACTTTGGCCTTTTGATCAGTGATCTGGGTTTTTGGATGATCCTTTTCCATATGTTGCAGAATTCCATCTGTAGACCCACCCGCGCCGAAATTCGGATGATCATGCCAGGCCGTCCCCTCTCTGCTCAACCTTTCTCTGCGCTTGCCATTTCCTTAGCGGTATCGTCAACAAACTACTGCCAGATATCTGAATAGCCTGGAATATGACCATTGGTAGTCGAGTCCGTGATTGCTCGGCGGCAGACAGACCCACAAACATAATGGTAGTCAGTGGCACACCCATGGCAGGGGTTTTTGTAGAAACCAAGTACGATACTGCAATTGTATCCTCGCGAGAAAGCCACACTCGGCATACTGCAAAGGCGATAGTAATCCAGACGCAAAATAGGGCCACGAGAATGAACACGGTAAAGACCATGTTGTTTGACGGGATCTCAGTGAACGCATTCGAAGCAAACGCGCCGTCGTAGGTGCTCCAGATAAGCACCAGCAAGGCACAGGAGCCCAGCTTGCTCATTTTCCATTCCAGAAGGACTTTTCTCACCTGGTTAGGGAACAGTTTCACCACGATCTGACCCACTGCCTAGAAGACCAAGACCATGTCAACTGGGAGGACATAGAAACCTGCAGGAAATGGGAAAGAAGACGCACCAGTGGAACAAACACCGAGAGCCCAAGTTGTTTGAAGACATATCGATAAGTCTCACCAAATCCCGAAGACGTCTCCGGCAGAATGTCCGTGTACCACACATTCGTGCTGATGTACAGCTTGATCAATGCGGTGGTCACAAATGGACCAAGTATGTTTCCGATAGTGGACTGCGCCACGGTCAAGGCTGCATTTCCATTGGCCTTGTTGGTCATAATCGTATTGAACGCAATGCTGAAGTTGGCTTCTCATTAGTAATGGGGCCCTTTCTCAACATCGAATCTATTCAAGGCAAGTGTGCATACGCGGTAGGAAGACAGCCCATGATGACAATCCCCACCAGCAGTGCAGGGTCCATAAATTCGTGATTGGTTCCCGTCGCACTAACGACTGCGTAGCTGCTCGATGAGGTCAAAAGGTAACATTGCACCTGGACGAAGATATGCATCTTCCACCGGCTGAGGTTCTCCACCAGGACATTGGTGGGCAGGGTGCAGCCATTAATGAAGAAGATGATGGCAACGGCCAGGTAATTGATCACAGTTTGTTTCAGTTCCTGGTTGGCTTGCGGAACCTGTATCTGAGAGGCAAACGCAATCAGGATGCCCATGATAATCAGAAACCATTGGTCCATCACCAACTCCCCGATGCCAAGCAGGACCCGCTTAAGCCCCGACCGGGATGGCTTTTCGGGGGCTGAGACATTCTCGTGTTCCGTCAGGAATGCCGAAGGATTGTCAACCTCCCTGGCCCAGACTCGACTTGACGAACACCTATTCGAGGGCTCTTGAAGTCAAAATAATAAGCATATGCTATTAACTTCTTATAGCAGTCACGCACCGTTGTTCTGTGACAACTCAGGCGACTGAGTGTTGAGCATCTTGTCGTTCTATGCCGTTTCGTCTTCTGCCAATGGAAAAGCAAAGGGTATATAAGAGGAATCACACTTCATCAGACCAGCTAGGCTGCAGTGGTTGGAGCACGGTGGTATACTTCCGGACGGAAGCATACGGGCTGATATGGGCGGATCGCTCTTATCAGGAAGACGGTGGGGAAAAGGACTTTGGATGCTCCAGCGCACTTTTGACACTTCGTACTGGGGGAAAAGCGGGAATCCCGATCATGATTGAATGGCTGGCGCAGATCAATCAATCCCTTTTGGCATTGGTCTTAGCTGACAGGGTTAGAGCAGCCCCACTGAGCGTCGACCGTCGAAATTGTAGACAAAAACTTGTCTATTCAACTTGAGCAGAAATTCTTTCACCTATCATATTCCCAACATCTCAAGCGAGCTGTCGGTCTTGGATCCGCTAGGCAGCAGATATAATTCGAACATCCCTGCCCTAGGGACAGGGGAGATGGTATCTCAACTCACGAGACGCCGACAGAGCAACATCACCACTTGCTCCAAATCCGGAAAGTTGGTCGGTAAATCATATGGATAGGGGACACGATTACGCTCTTCTGTATTTGCCAAAATGCACCTCCTCACATCTGCAACGTACTCTAGCCCATGCCGACCCACCAGGTCTCATCCAGCAGCAGACAAACAGAATGCATGGGTGATTCTTATCACCACTGACAATAAACTACACCAATCACCATTCATCCACCATATTACGCGCTGGTTCCTGAGAAATAGAGATATGGTGATCTATATAAACCCCTACGAGTTCTCATTTTGACCATCTTCGTCAGAGCCAAGCTCCAGCGCATCTATCAAGCAACCCTTTCGCCCCTTACCATGTCTCTTCCTTCCCAAGTCCCCAGATCTTGCCTTCAGCGCCTGGCTGGCTATACTAGCCGTTCCCATGCCTTGGCCATCCTCAGGTCAGCTTCCAAGCCCCGGCCGCGCTTGCTTCATGAATTCTACGCCCCGTTGAAATCCTCCGTCCCTTCGCGGGAACAATTAGGGCTAGACTCCTCGTTTCCTGTTCAAGAGTTTGCCTTCCTCCAAAACCTAGTCAGGAAGTCGCCCTTGTTCCTCCATGCCTCGAAGCGCAAAGCCGAGGAGTTCCAATTTCCGCTGGGTACCACATTCAAGGCTCCCTCACGGGAAATCGGCCTCGAGATGAAGGATACATTCGCACAGGCCCTGAGAGAGTATGGCATTATCGCCGTTGAGCTCGGCTTCAGTGACCCTCAGAGTCAGTTTATGCTCCAAGTCGTGGAAGCGATGGGATGTAGTCCCGACACCCACTCCAGCACACAGGGTGCCTTGGTATTAGCCTCTTATTTATGTTAACACATCCAAAATCCCCCACTAACCAATTTCTTCTCAGTGGGACGTAACCTACCGACCCACGGGCGTCATAAGCCAGAAAACTGGCGGCAGCGTAGTCAGCATTTCCCAGTCCCTGGGCGAATTCGCCTGGCACACTGACGGCTGCTTTGAGGTCAACCCGCAACGCTACTTCGGGCTACACATCCTCCATCCAGATAAGTTGGGCGGAGGTATCTTCCGTGTGCTCGCCGTAGATGATCTCGTCAAACTTCTGTCCCCAGCCTCGATCGAGACCCTCCTCAACTACGAATTTGAGCTCCAAGTTCCACCAGAGTTTTACAAGGGGGCCACAACGACAAGACACAAGTTGCTGTCCATCGAACCGAATACTGCACGATATCTTGTGCGCTTCCGTTGCGATATCCTGGCCGATCCGCCTAGTGAGGATCCGGCTGCCAATGCAGCCGTTGCGGAGTTGAACGCCATTCTGGATAAGCAGGATACTGTGGGACAGTCTTTCTCAGAGGATGTTTTCAAGGAGAATGTTATCCTTCTGATGGACAATGCGCGGTTTTTGCACTGTCGGACGGAGATTAAGGATCCCAGACGGTTTCTGAGACGCATTCGGTTTAATGGGACCCCTGGAGTCCACAATTAGGGTGTGACGGAAGCATCTTTGTTACTTACCAGATGGATGGTGGAACTATTCTATTTTGATAAACGTAGTAAAGAACATCACTTGTTATTATTGCTTACCCAACCCTGTGAGTCATGGTAATTACAGGTATGAAGATATTGATCTGAATCAGTAGTTGTGTATTCTATGCCAGCAACCGAGAGAGTCGACACCAGTATCCCACAGTGCTCTCCCCTCTCGCCGGTTTTCTACATCTTCTACAGCGCGGACCTAATGGGGCGGGGGCCCCAGAACGGTGCTCAGATAATATCAGTTATATCAAAGACACAATGATGCTTGCTACTGGTGAAAGTGAGCATGCCAACTGTTAATGACTGCGGGAGCATGGGTATCATCGAAGCGCTGAATGATACCAAGATTATCAGGAGTACTCTCCTGAAGCCAACAGATGCTGACTTATGTCTACGATCAGGCAGTTATTGAGCCTTGAACGACAGAGCAAAAAATTACTTCACACGAAATCATCTCTAGAGATACAATAAGCTACTATGTGTTGCGAGAACCTCTACCCAGAGGCGGAAAATACTTTTGAGAATCACAGGAGCTACCCTTTAAAGAATCCTTCTTGGTGAAGCCTTAGTTAACAAGTTAGCTAGCTTATGGAGCGTGTATATTTCAAGAAGACCACAACACACACGCCTCCTACCTGCTATTTCCCAAGCTGCAAATTTGTATTGATATTTTGGTGTTCTTCTCTCTTTCTCTCGGTTTCCCTCTCAGCTAAGAACTTTAACAAAATCGGACTTAGGGCTAATTAAGGATATATGACAATCTTTATGGACGACGAAAGGTGCTCTTTTCGAAACAGAGGGAATGCCGTGGGCGGAGATTGCTGCGCACTTCCCTGAACGAAGCACATCATCCCTCCAAGACCACTACTCAACCAATTACGCCACAAGGCAACCACTCGAGCTGAAAGGCTACGGAGAGGCTGATGAGAGGCACTGAACTCGAGAGCGCCCAGGCCAAAAGAGTCTCATTTTTGCATATTGCCTATCCATGAGAAGTAATGAATTAAAGCCAGACGATCGTGAATAGCTTTGCGACGCTCAGGTGATCCTTCAAACCCTCAGAGAATTTCTGGTCTTCAAAACAGTATGGACACAGCCAGTGACAGTACATTGCCATCTTGAAGGTGGTTTCCAAGCATAGAGTATACCATAGTTTGAGGAGATCCAGACAGGGTAAACAGTAGGGTGAGGAAGAGCAAGGTGAAATAGAGCAGGATGAGATAGGGCGGGGTGAGAGAGTGCAGGGTGAGAGGGTGCAGGGTGAGAAAGCACAGGGTGAGAAAGTAGTGAGCTCACCCACTTATACCTCACTGATAAGAAAAGCCATCTTAAATATCACTATAGGATGTAGGAAGCATACTCTAGCCACTTTTAGGAAGCCTTCCAAAGGGTGCAAGAAGGTGTGATTGAAATATTCGAAAAGTGGGATGATTCCAAAGCAGTGCTGGCAACAGCGGACGGCGCCAGAGGAAATAAGAAAGGAAGCTGTTGAATTCGATAGCACCAGTAAAGTTCCTGAATCACTAGCAATTTATATGGCAGATCGAAATCCAATGAAGGTCCGATTCTTCTAAACGGATGACTATCTATCTCCTGTTTATGGTTTCAATGGGGGTCAAATTTGAAGGTATTCGAATGATCGAATGCAATCGAATGTTCTGCCAAGTGGGGCCGTGCTAAGTCAATTCCTATGCCTTCCAAATCGGGTAAGCAGTATAATAATTCAATAGAAGCTAAGTTGTGGCTGTTGTAGAGTTGCATTCAGTCTACGTTTAGTTATAGCCTACCAAAACCAGCACTAAACCGCTGCAATTTCAAGTCTACTGAGTAGATTTTAGAAATCAGAACCAACCCTGACCTATTCTAATTAAGTGCAAGCTTCACTACACAATCTGCCCCTAGGCCTAGATAGGTAGTCACTAACTAAGTATGATTAGAAATGGTTCAAGTTAGTTTTGATTTAGGTTAGTTTCAGGTCTAAATTTTAATGGTTTTCAGAATTTAATTTCTCCTATGCTTAGGGCCTATTGAATATGCCAATAGAAAATTAATATTCTTATACGAAATATATAGTAATTATGGTCATTTTAATCTATATCGAAAATATTAACTCAATATATATAGGGTTGAATAGGTGGTGGTCAAAAGTCGTTCTTACTCCGTAGACTATAGTAATTGTCAAAGGTTGTTGCGTATATATTCAAAGCACCACTACTTTCATACCAACCTGTGACAGAAATAGTTATTCCCTTCTATCTCACTAACCACAGATATTTTGAATTGATGTTTCATATTTAGATAGACTAGATACAAGCTATCTAGTGATATCAATACTTCTGGAGAAATCCTAGAAATTAGTGATTACAAAGTAAAATGGTGGGGGTTGGTTAACCTAAATGGATAAAACGGTAACCTTACAAACCATAATCAACGGTTTTAACCGACCTCGAACTAGTTTCACCCTAGGGAAACCAAACCCGGTGTGATTCCCTAGGCTAGGTCGCTAGGAACTGAACCCTCACTGCTGAGACTTCAGTAAGGGTCGGATTCGATTTTAGCGGTTCGGTTATGCAACTCTACAAGGGCTATAGTCCTAGCCTGATGTAGTGGCTGGAACGGGGCGCCGCGGCACATATAGTAAGATGCCTAATAAGGACCATGAGAGCTTGCTTGTAGTGGTTTGGTTATGCAACTCTAGCCATCCATCCACCCCAAGGGTTGCGCCGCCCGGAGGCAGGCATTAGTAAGCTAAAACCAAATTACGCTTAATTCTCCGCTGCACTACCTCCATGCTGAGACATCTGGCAAGTCTCCGAATGGCACAGGCTTATACCTACTTGGTGAAAGAGCATCCCCATGAGCATCCTCTTCATCTTCTTTTTCCCATACCATGACACCCACAATATATGTCCACATCATGATAATACAACGCGCCACCTTAGCAACATGTGCAGCAGTTAAAGGACGATCGGCGGGATCTTGACTCAGGAGATTTAGAACTCCTTGTAAATCATTGTCGACAGAGCTCCCTTCTGACTGCTCTACAGGACCTATCTCGGAAGGAGGGCTAGCCCTGTCTCCGGTGTTAGTTTCGTGGCCGCCTCTACCGCCCCCTTGAAAGAAGGAATTGAGGTTGTATTGGGTGCTTTTTTCACGCGGACTCAATCCTCGTGGCCCTGGCCGCTGGTTATTATGTCTGCCCAAGGCCTGATTGAAGTAAAGCTGAATCTCATAACAAGTTCGCTCGTAGACTTCCTTTGACCGAGTTGTCGCATCATCAATTCCTTCTCCCTGGTATGCTGCTGTAAGACGCTCAATCAATGTTGAATACCGATCTAGCCTCCACACCACGTTTCGGACATCGTAATCTGTCTCACTGAGATAGAAGTCGATAAGTAAGGTGCTCCTATAGAGACTCCCAAAACTAACTTGTTGACGACCGAAGAGGTGCAGGCCTGGTAGCCACTTTGCGGTTTGCTCGTCAACAACATTGATGATCCTCTCTAATAACTCATTACCTCTTCCTAAGCCCTCGCCACCACTAACGGTGAATCTGACAGCTTGAATTAGTTGCGTACCAGCCAGAGGAACAAGCCCTCCGAAGGCGATCCCGGCTACTGCATCCGCCCAAGTGGAAATAGGCTGTCGCGCGCGATTATAAATCGTACCCGGCTGAGAGAGCACCTGTGGCGGACAAAAGGCTTTGTAGTAGTTGTTATCTTCCGAGGAAGGCAAGTTGGTGAGGTACCTAGTGGCTGCATTTGACATGGCATTACCTATCGGCAGGTCTGCGATAGCGCTCCCTGACTTCATCTTGTGCAAGAATGCTCTTGTAATTGGAATTGTCTCGACTGATGCCTGCTGCGAGCATTCTGCAAATGGAAGGCAGTTGCATGCAATGTGCTTAGCAAACAACGTAGAATATCCTGAGCCCATTGCGTTATTGTAGTGCAGGTCGCGCCGACCATACACTATCCTCATCGTTGTAATGCACCCAGCCTTTTCCGAGGACAGCGCGAGACCAAATGGACCGATTCCATTAGGACTCCAGTCGGAGCTCGAAAGCGGTATTCCTAGAATGGTAGCGGATGCTGCAATCTCTTCTTCTGATACCTCGATACAAGGTTTTCCTTCATGTATCCAAAGTGCCTGAGACGTCTCAGCCCATATCTTAATGTTTTCCCTCTCAGTACGATATGACGACGATGCTGAGGGTGCGTCTAAAGGTTTCAGCGGTCTGACGCAATTAACGAGGTAAGTGCGGTAATCTGGGGGTATTATTTCCATGCTTGGATAATGTCCACGTAACATCCACGGTTCATATAATAGGTGACGATCAATGTTCTTCACTTGCTCATCGTTTAAACACAGTCGGTAGCGAAAATTCGTTGCCAAAATAGGTTGATCCAGGTTCCTGGGAGGTAACTGAAGTCCATCGTTCTAATTGGCGATTAGACTGTACTTGAAGTGTCTCTCTGGGAACACCCACCCACGATTTTGTTTCAACATAAGCGCCAAAATCTTTCAGTACATTGAGTACCTTCTTTTGTGCAGAGTTGTGATATCGAGCAATATCGCCCGAAAGGCCCAAGGCTGAATTAGGTGTATGAATGGTACGCCATGCGATTTCTTTCATGAACGATTCATAAATAGGCTTCCAAGAAACTTGATCGTAGTTCGGCTGGATCCAATTGAACATGGATGATGAGTATAGCCGCTCGTCTCCAGCCCTAACAAGCCCTGTCACGGTAGGTGCGGTTGGAATACGCACTCTGTTTAAGCGAAAGGGCCAGAGCCTACTCCAGTCAGGTGGTAACTGGGGGACAAAATCCCCCATACGCTCACTGTCACAGCATATGGAACCAAGGTGCTCGGTTGCTTTCCTGAAATTGAGTTCCCAACGTGCTATCCAAATACCCCAGAAAAGCCCGATAATAGTTGCGGTTGTATTGAATAAGTCGATTACAGATTTGCCCTCAGTAAATCTTGTCCAGTCTGAAGTTGAGTTGGATGATACCATTTGGATATAGAAAGCGCAAGGAGCGAACGAACATGAACTAACTTCCTGAAGATGTCAGCGTGGGGCCAAAGATAAGTGAAATAATTTGCTCGGGGCTGGTTTCCCTCAGCTGATTGAAGTCCAACCGCATACATATTCACTGGCGGTATGTCATCTACTATTTATCAATTGAACAACCGAGCTGAAGAGCATGTCATAGTAACTTCACTCGCCACTTGATCAGAGACCCCATGATCTGAAATCCTTGGTTGTCAGTAGAAACAGAGTTACATCAAGGGCTGGAACCGTTTGGAGAAAAATCATGTTGCCACAATCTATACTGAGAACCGAAAGACCAGGCCGGTTTCGGGAGTTGCCATAAGCTGTTCTCCTTTGATAGGATATGACATAAGTTGTGACAGGCAAGTCCTTCGTCTGGTCCTAAGTTCCAGAAATCAAATGTACTGTGCCTTAACCTGACCTGTTGACAACTAAATTCCGAGCTAGCCGACCGACCATGGCACCTCCCCTATTTTTTGAGTTGTTATTCTGTAATGTCCTCATGAAAGTTATAGGTTATTGGCATATAGACTAGAGAGCTTTAGTCTACTTAGTTTAAAGACCTCACAGTCACATAAGCAACAATGTGGAGTGAGCAGGACTGCTTTCCTAATAACTCAGTGAGCCTACCAGGGTAATCCAGCAGCTGCCAGTGCGCAGTAAGTGATGTAAGTGATTAGTGAGTTCAAGTGAGGAGCAGCTCCACCATCTCCACATCCCGTTGGCTGGTTGCCCAGCCGAGCGGAGTGAACTTGTTGTCGGCGACATTGGAGTCGAGGGCCCTCACCGCTAAATGCTTGCGGATGATCTCGATTGCTCCCGCTTGGACTGCATAACGGAGGGATGTCTCGAACTGACATCCATTGGACGAATCCTCAAGAGATGCTATATTATTTGAACTTGCCCCTTCACTACTGCCACGCCCAGTGGAGTAAGGCGATTTATTGATCGGCGATGTCAACTTGGATATCGTCGCACTGTAGCAATCGTTCAACAATTTATAGTGATTGTTTAGATATGGGTGATGCCAAAAAAAAAAAAAAAAAAAAAAAGGGATAGACGAGAAAGCAAGCAGTCTTCCGTGTCTGCACTGCATCTTTCCTGTGTTTCCTGTCTTCTTAGTTCCCCCTGACATTTCCTTGCTGAATAACATCAGCTATTAGCTAGAGGATAGTAAAGCTGTCGTGCCTTTTGGTTGGATTCCTCAGAGTTGGCGGGCATGGAGGACCTTGACATGTTACCGGGCATGGACTGGGAATTGGCATAGTTTATTTTATTATTCATTCAATCTACAACGATACGGTACTAGAATCCTCTAGGAATATGGCCCTTTTAAGAAACAGACTCTGACAGGCGATGTGTATATCTGCCTGTGTGGGACGTAGTGTGCATCCCCATTAGTAAAGCCCACTTTGCTGCACCTCTGCCATTGGGAATGAAACTATAGCACAACGTAATAGGGATCATTTGAACCATGTAGAGCTATACTCAACAAAAAAATTGCGCAGACAGTAAAAATCCTTCACATGTAAGATGTTGATTGATTGAGGCCATACCTGTTGGCTCTAAAGGTAGCGTACACCAAAAAAGTATACGCCGATCTTGAAAAGGCATGGGAACACGATGAGGGATAGAGCAAATATTTATGCTGCTGGCATTGGAACCTGCTGTGTCACACAGTGGATCACTCCACCACTTAAGGGAATGGCGTTGAGTTGCACCTGTCGCACCTTGCGCTCCGGCATCAGCGTTTGCAGGGTTTCTCTCGCCTTGCGGTCGTACTCCTCGACGCCGAATCCAGGAATAATCACTCCTCCGTTGCAGAAATAGAAATTGGCGTACCCAGAAACGAACTCGTCGTGCTCTTCGATCCCGAGGTCCTCCGGACCGGGCTCATCAATCGCATGCAGTTCGAATTTCCGGCCCTTCGCGTCTGTTTCGTTTTCCAGTATGTTCCGGATCTCGTGGGACATGTCCAACCACACCTGTGGAACACTGGGGTGATGGCGTGACCAGACGAGGACACCCGGGCGGATGAATCGCACCTCAGCATCCACATGGCAGTCGGTGATGTCAAGTCCCTTCCGTCCAGGAACCCAGATAACTTTCTCCACGCCAAGGACCCGGCGCAGTTCTACCTCGATCTCATCACGACTCAGGCCCGGGTTGCGCTGGTCGCAGACCATATAGCTCTCGGCAACAATCAAGGTGCCCTCGCCGTCGACGACGAGACCGCCGCCCTCCGTGCGGATGCGTGATTTGACCACCTGCACGGGCGATGGGGCGGTGTCGCCCTCGATGACATTCCGAGCGAAGTCGGTGTTCTCCTGCAAACATTTCGGCGTCATGGAAGGGTTGGCGAATCGGTAATCACCTTCGATGCCTTCCCATCCGTTTTTATTGCCCCATTCATTGAATTCGAAGCTGATCGCCAGGCGCTGCTTTGGATCTAACTCGCCGGACGCGTCGTGAACATACACCGGGCCAGTATCGCGTACCCAACAGTGGTTGATGGGCGTGGGGATGACGCTCACTTGGGAGGGATCGGCTACCTTGCAGTTGACAAGGTCCTGGGCAGCAGATACCTCTTCTGGACGCGCGTACAGCCGAACGGGTTCAAACTCTGCGATCGCAGCGGCAAGGTCGACTATTTCACTGCAGTTCTTGTCGTGGAGCTCCTCACAAGTCGATGCTCGGGATGGGAAACCAAGTATGGTAGCAAGATGAGGATGCCACTCGGGCGGAAACACGAAGCGACCAGTTTCCAGAGGAGGCAACATAATGCGGAAATAGCCTTTAGCGGGATAAATTTGATGTACAAGTCTCAGTGGGACGATTTGCCAGGTGGATGAAGAAAAGAGCGTCTTATAGGCATGAAAGGAGTGTGGGCGGCATGTATGTTGGTTGTCCCTAGACCGTACTGGCAGTAGGTACACACACAATTACCCGCTAGTCAGCAGTACGATATCAGCTTTCCTTGATTTGAGGTTCAGCTGAACACCAGGGGCGCTTCCAAGTCTCTTAGAAGGCAGCCCATGCATTCTTCGCTACAAGAGGCCTGTAATTGGCGGGATAGACAGGGGATCACGCATAGATCACATCCAACCCCGAGTACCTGAGACCAATCAGGAGCTGCAGCTGAGGGTGAGAGCTGATGAATCCGGGATCTTCAGTGTGGAAATTTATGGAGGCAGAGCTGAAAGGAAAACGTAATTGCGCCACAGAATCAACTGCATCGAGAGAACAGGGTCGCCGCGGCAGCTGGGGAGCTGAAATTGGCTCCACCAAACAACAGCGTCATGCGCACTCCTAGTACAATGACAGGATGATCTGCCAATCGTGATACGAAGGATGTTGAGGGCATGGCTGCGTGGTTGATGAGGAGTTCATAAGTTACTCTAGTCCCGTTCTAGATACCTACGATGCTAACTGCTTCAAAGGGTCCCATAGGGGGCAGGTGCTGCTACTGTCAGGTGTTCCTCTTCCGTCTCCTCAGTCTCATGGCCATATGTCCGATTACTCAACCAGAAGGAGGGCACGACCGTGGCTGCAGACAGTGCCCCCAAGGCCAAAGCCATAGATTTCCACCCATAGTTGTCAAACAGAGCTTCGCCCAGGACAGGACCGATGGCCAGGCCAGCGTAGTTAGCCATGGTTTGCAGACCAAAGGCCTGAGCAACCGCCCCTTTCTCACCGAAAATTCCGGGGGACTGCTGTTCCATCTCTTCGATTACCATCTGTGACTCGACGTACA